AGGGGAGAGGAGAGGGGAGTAGCGCGAATGCAATGCCACTTGGTGCGAATGCACGCGAAGTCGGCACCGGAGGCAGGGAAGAGGAGAGGAGGAGGGTTCCCCAGCCAGTGGTGGAGGCGAAAACGGTATACGAAGCTGCGCCGGCGATTAGGGATCTAAGGAAAGAAGCGGTGAGTGCGTTTGTGCCGGCGGCGGTGAGGAGGAAGATGGAGATGGCGGGGGGGAGGGGGGGGTTGGTTGGGGAGAGGGAGGCGGAGGAGTTGGAGAGGGGGGGGTATTGGAAGGGTGCTGGGGAGGGCGGGGGAGGGGATAAGGGAGAGGGAGGGGAGGGGGAGAAGAAGGGGAAGGGGGTTACGATGGAGGAGGTTGAGGATGAAGATGCGCGGTGATGGAGGGGGGGGTGGGGGATAGGGAGAGGGGTTACTCGTGGCGCTTGGAGTATGGACAAGGATTGTGAATAGCAGATAGTATAATATTAAATACAAGATTTGAATTATTCACTCAGACAATCGTGATCGTACCCCTCGTCCTCTCCTCAATATCCCTCACTATCTCCCACGCCGGCGTCACAAACCCAATTCCCGTACTCCTATCCACCGCAAACAACATCCCCGCCCACTCCTTCCGCAAGTTAAAAACTAGCGCACCAAAATCCCCCACCTGTGCAAACGTCTCGTCCGTACGGCCTCGTTTAAACTCATACTCATGGGACACCTTCCCGTCATGCCACCGAATCGCCCGCTTGAGTATGTTATGTTCAGCGCCGGTGCATTCGGAGGATAGGCCGACTTTGCCGTACCACTCGCTCCTGAAGCTGGTGGTGGTTCCGGAGACGGTATCGCCTTCTTGGACACGGTAGTAAGGGGAACCGTGTCTCCTGAACTGGGTCTCTGGTGGTAGGAGGTTCTTCAAGGGGCGCGAGGAGTCGAGTTCGATGAGCGCCCAGTCCATCCGGTGCTTTGTGTCGGAAAGGCGATAGCCTGAGGCGAACTTGACATGGCCGATAGGTCCTAGGGAAGCCATTTGCTCAAGGCGGCTGAGGATCTCGAAATCCTCTTCTGTTGCATTCCAATTTTCGATGCAAGATATGCGAGCTACCTTCGTCTGTCTTACGTCGTATTTAGCTGGGTACTCGACATTGATCTTGTAATCGACTTGCCGTCCATCTAATCCGATGCCGAGGGAGTCGTTTGTTTTTTGCCCAAATAGGTCGCCGGTTGCTATCACATTATAGCAGGTAAGAAAGCACTTTCTATCCTCCTCATCGCCGGCAGCGCGGTAGTTCACAACAGCGCCGAGAGTCCCTGCTGAATTTGTGCAATTCGACGGCGCAATGGATGACCCGTTAGATGGAACCGCTGGTAGCCAACTCAGGTACACATATTCATGAGATCTCTCAGACGGGCGTGTAAGTGCAATCCTGCCCGGTAGAATCTCAACAGAGATATCAATCTCTTCTGGGGAAATCGCAGATACGATAGTGCTGCTGATTTTCTCTTCGAGCTCGGCCCATGCGTGCACTGCTCCTGGTTGAATGAAGATAATAGCTGTGAGGCGATCTTCGCAGTCGTAGTACTGAGTTCCGCGGTAGTGGTACGCGATAGTGGTCCATTTCCCGGGACAATGCTTCATGACGGCATCGAGGACGAAGGGCTGGATCTTCGCGATGGAATTAATCGTAGCTTCATCCCTAATAATGTAAGATATATCACTGTACGACTTCTCGTCGTTGCGAATCTCTACTCTCATTTCAACCCCAGCTGCTGCTGCAGCCGGCTCAACAATCTCGTAGATCTCAGATACGGCCCTTTTCCACGATGATACGTTGAACTCATCGCGCGTTCTAATGAGTATCGTATCCTTTACATCCTTTGGCGTATGCCGTGGCGCAAAGCTGTATACGCCGATCATCCGCGGATTAATCTCATGGTTTGAGAGTATTTCTCGGATCGACTCGTCGAGTTCATCGAATACCTCGACCGCGACGTTGGAAGTTTTGTGGACATCCCAGGGCCAGCCGACGGGGATCTTGTTGGCAGCAGCGCGGTAGGGGTCTTTGCAGGCGGCGTAGTATTCTATTGAGCAGCTTCCGGTTTTGGGATCGAAATGCTCGGGATCTTGCCCGGGGTTGAATTTGCGTGATAAGATGGCCATGTTTGCTGTTGGTAGTTCTCGTCGTGATAGTCTCCGTGGCGACTTTGGGGAAATATATAAACAGGCTAGATACGACAACGCTTTACGTCAATTATGGCAAAGTTAGAGGTTGAGTCATGGGTGGTGGGCAGATGGACCCTTCAGGGACCCCCTTTTTGTATCACTTTGGTCTATAACTTTCGAGATGGCATATATGGATATTACGTCGATGCAGAGCTACCAACCTCATTATCGCAAGGTTGAAGAGGCTGAGCCATGGGGCGGAAGATGGATGGGACGATGGAGCGTCTCCATTTCTATACGGTAGGATCCCGCAGAGTTGTATCAGTCTCCGCGGGGGCTTCAACGGAATCAGAGCGGCGAGTGTGTAATAGAACTAGCTTCCCAATAACCATTCATCCATTAAATATACAATATAAACCTTCTCTCCCGTCAGCACTAGTCACTAGAGTGCAAAGAAAACTGAGAGCAAAAAAAGGAACGAGAATCGAGGCGCTTGCGTGTGAATATCCTTCGCCCCAGTAACATATTTGGCCAAACCAGGGCCTCTACGAATATTGTACATCTCTCACCACCACTTATATCTCTCACCACCACTTACCCTTCTTACCGTCACCTATCTCTGTCACCACCACTTACCCCTCTCCCCACACGCCTCACCACCGTCCACTTCACCATATCAGCGAATGCGTCAGCGCCGTCCACTCGACCATGTTAGCGAATGCATCAGATTGTGCTGACGCATTCTCAAAGCATAAGTCCGTCGTCTGCTAGGCCAAACTGTTCGTTTGTACATATGTCTGGCGATTTGCGATCATCTGTCACACCCTCACTCCCTAATGTACCACGCTCTCCTCAGACGTAGCCACGCTCCTTCGTTGAAAACACTATGGGCAGTTCGATTCGGGTGGTATGCGCTGGTATGATAAGGGGCGCACCCGCATCTTCACTCTCTAAGCTGCCTCTAACCATAATCTGCGTTAGGATCTACACTAACTCTTGTCAGTGTTATGGTGGAGCTTGAAAAAAAGCCGCCATTGTCGGCAAAGTAAGAAAGTATAAATATTCAAACAAAACATCAACGATCCAAGAAATTAAGCTTTGTGGGAATTTTATTAAGTGAACTGAACTCGGGATATATAACGATGGGATAGAGATTTGGTATTATATCATACTCTCATTCCTAGAACACGCATACCATACACTATAACCGGGATATTCACAGCCAGCAATGAAACCAACCCCTATCCAGACCCATTTTGCGCTTCCGAAAAACAGCTTCCTTCCACCATCTCCAACATCAACGTTTCCACACAGCGAAAACAGTCCAGAGCGTGTATTTCAACGACAACTATGCCGCAAATCCCACCCTGAGCCCAAGATGCCGTGTGTAGATCCAGATATCCCATCTCAACCCCCGACCGAACCCCCCAACAAAGAATACAGCACAGAAAACCGTACCTACTGTAGTAACACATGGATGCCCCAAACAGACACGAAGAGTCTGAACGCCGTTCTGCCTACCTCCCATCAACACCTCTCACAACCCCCTTCACATGACACCATCAAAACAACATTTCCACCCCATGATGCACCCCCAAATACACTTCACAGATCGAAGCCAACACTGACAAGGCAACAACAGCAGCAACAAACAAACAACACCCCCCAAAAAGAAAAACAACCACACCCCTCCCACAAGGCTGATTTGAATCACCCGCCCACCCAAAGACCCATCCGGCGACCACCCAACCGCGACCAGGCGCGACCACCTCACCCAGCCCTCTTTCAGGGCTGAAGTATGACCTGCAGCCTGCGCGTAATCCACACACCTGGTAGGCAGGCAGGCAGCCGCGCACGCGATCCGCCTGCTTGCCTGCCCCTTGCATACCACCAGATCGCGGCTTGCATAACTAAACAAAAGAGGACAGATGGAAATAGACTCACGCAGAGGTAACGAACTGGATGACAGATGACAGATCCGAGCTGAGCTGGGCTGATTTCATCACTCAGCTGTCTGTCCCCCTCCTACCTGATGAGTCGAGACATCGCTTCCCACCGGCTAGCGTAGGCAAGGAGGCAGGGAGGCAAGAATGCTGCGCCGCCGCGCCGCGCCGCGCCCAGGCCACCCACCACCCGAGACGACGAGGAGGGAGAGGGGGTAAGAGTAAGAGTCATACATCCCTTCGACCTTGAGTGTGCGGCGTGACGGGAGTGGAATGTGATAGACAGCGGCGCGGAATCGAGGACCCGCACAGTGATGGTGATAGTGATAGACAGCGGCGCGGAATAGAGGACCCGCTCCATGATAGTGACAGTGACAGACAGTGACAGTGACAGTGACAGCGATCTTGGGGAGCGACATCGCACTCGCGCTGTCCTCGACCGTATGAGTGTTTTGAAGTGATATGGGAGGTAGGATAGAGAGGACATGGATGACTGTACAGAAACCAAATGACTAACCCACCTATCGCCGCCGAGGACGGGAGTTAATCACCTCACTCACCTCACCTCATCTCATCTCCGTCGTCGCCTATATGAATGACACAACACGATAAAGGCGTGATAAATTAACCCCCCCAAGTCTGGACTCACTCAAAATGCCCAAAGCGGGTCTTTCGCAAAAGTACATTCCATAGTATACTATCCGTGACCAAGGCGGCCCGCGGATACGTCGGCGCTTGCCTTGGTGGTGGCAAAATAATCCCCCATCTCCGGCGCCGGCGAGGGCGAAAATTGAAAAGAGTCATACCCTCACTCTCACTCCAGATACGCGTATCAAGAAAAAAGGGGGCTGCCTACCAGCCTTGTCTTGGCGTTTTTCCCCGCCCCGGCAAATTCTCGCCAAAATTGGGCGGAAGCTCGGGAAGATTAGGCATCGAAAGCAGTCGTATGATGCTGATGTGTCCCTCGCCCTGTGTGGTCCGTGCGGTCTTTTGGTAAGTTTTTTGCCGGTTTGGTTGGTTTGGATTTCCGTAACAGCAATCACGGGGTATACGGTGGGCGAGGTTTCCTTACTTGTGCGGAAAGTGATCACAGTGATAACGGCAGGGGGGAGGTGGTAAGGCTACAAGGCAGACATCTACGCACACAGTCATCAATTTGATGCGTGTGTGTTTTCCGAGCCGAGTCTTGGTGTCGGGGATGGGTTGTTTGAGATGTAAGCCTGGTGCTTGATCGTCGGCCGGGGAAAAAGGGGGAGCGATACTCGGAGTGTACTACTACTGCTGCTTGCTTGCTCATTTCATATCATTTCTCCGTGTCTCGCGGCTCATAGACGCTGTGCAGCACTCCCTCATCACCGGATGCGGAGTGACTCCTCATTCCCACCCCATCTCCCACCACGGGTCCACCACCAGAACAGACGCACGCACGCAAGCTTATCCCACGGTAAATCCACACACGATTATCATCAACTCCGCAAGCCCCATCCATCCCCCCTCCCTCACCACCTCATCCAGTGGTAAGCTTGGGTGGATAGATGGGTCCAAGGGGGACAGGCACCGTAGTAACAACGTCCGTGTTGCGGCAAGGCAGAGGAGAGTGGAGAAGGGGAAGCTGGGCAGCTGGGGAGCTCCGCAGGCACGGGACCACGACAAGACAACAGAGCTTTGAGTCATCACTCACCACACGCACGCACGCATTGTTGCCCCGCCACTGTGTCGTCGTCGTCGCTGGTGCTCAGCCTGACTTGGTGAGCTGGATGGATGGATGGGCTAAACTTGGTCGCGCTATCGGAGGGGAGGGGACACGTAGATGGGGTTTTGGGCTTGAGAGGGGAGGAGTGGGCGAGGAGTGGGCGAGGAGTGGGGATCGTCGTCGTGGGTTTGTGAGTCGAAGAATGGGAGGGGGAGGAGAGAGAGCAAGTTACGGTAGGTGGTAGTTACTACTGTGAGTGAGTGAGTACAGCTCCTGATTTGGAGTCTCTCACAAAGCCGGTGGCCCACGTATTTCCCGTACCGCAAACGGTATCATCGTCGAGGGTACGAAGAGCAAGTCAAGCCGTTGCAAACAGTGTCGCACAACACACAACAAACCAACATGCCGAACCACCACCACCACCACCACCACCATCATCATCAATCATCAAGTCAGTCAGCGATTTGCAAGCCCTCCGCATCGCTCGAACGCCGCAATGTCATAACCAGCACCGATCTGATATTGAAGTGTTGTCCATCCCCCCATCGAACCAATCACCACGCGCCTTTACGGGCGGGGAAATGCGATGGGGGTGGGAAATAGGTGTGGGGATTGGCTGTGTGGGACTGGGATGTTCGGATCGGGGGGGGGGGCGGATGCAGAGGATGAGTGATGATGATGCTTCGACGATGTTCTTCACCACCCCTCCCCTCACATCAGGGACTAGGAGAAAGGTACAATAGACGAGTACAGATAAGAGTTAGTAGTTTACAGTAGTTACTGTACAGTAACAGGATAGAGGTCAGTCTCGGGGCCCGAAGCAGAGAGAAGGGGGGCGCAGGATAGACGTCTCATGCGATCTATCCCCGTCCCACAGCTGCGCAGCTGTGGGTTCGTAAGAGGGCATATTGGCGGCTGTGAAACGGATAGTGAGGAGCGTGAGACGTGTGAGTAGGTGGGTTGCCGCCTTGGCTGGCGCTTGGGGTGCGCGGCGGTCGCAACGCTGGCTGGTGTTCATGCTGTGGGAGCGTGGGACGGAGTACCCGTGGCGAATCTCATGATGTGCATGATATGATATGCAAATACAGAGTAGAGTGAGTAACGTACGGTTGTGCGGGCTGCCTGGGGACAGTGTAGCTGTGAACTGGAATCTTCGGGTGTAGCCTGGGGTTTAGTCATGGTGGCAGTGGCAAGGTACTATCGCGGTTAGGTGGGGAGAGGACAAGGTGTTCGATGTGTGTGCGATGTGCGATGTCCGGTTTGCGATTCCATCATCAGGTTTTTTTTGGGATTGTTTGTGAGGGGTAATTTTCAAGTGAGGGGCAAAGTACTAAAGGAGGCTGTGTGTGGTGTTGTATGTGATGTTGCCTGGTAGGCATAAGAATAGCAACACACAGCCGCCGCGTGTTTGCCGCAGCATCGCCCCCCTGATCTACCGATGCTTCTGTGGGGAAAAAGAGAACGATGCGATGGAATCTGCCTCTCAGCCACGCCGACTGACGCCTAGAGTTTAATGCAGGTCATTTCGGTCGTCAAAAGGCTGGATGGATGTGAGAAAACAAAGAAGTGCGTGCAGTCATCATCTATCTGACAAGGCAACTATGAGACTATTCCCCTTGGACGCACGCACGTACTTTCAGCTCCAAACACGAAGAGTTGGCTGGGAAGGGGCGATGGGCGCTTCGGGAAAGGTGGTGGCTTGTTGCCATGGCGTACTTTTTCTCATAGGTTGGGATGTACTGTAAGCAGAGTGTCATGGTTGGCTGGGAGTGTAGTTGTGAGGTGGCAAGGGCCAATGATGTGCAGATGTATAGATGTGGCGAATAATAAGGGAGACAAGGGAAGAGAGGGAGGGACCGAAGTGGTAGAGTAGAATGTCCGTAGTAGAATGAGCTGTTCGAAATGCGCGAGAGGTGGGACTGGCCAGCCGTAGAGAAACGTTCGATGGTGATGATCCCTGGCTCCAGTCATTGGGTGGCGAGTGCCACTGCCGTGTCATCTTCCCAGTCATCGCAGTCATCGTCAAGAGACTTGGGCCGACTTGGTTGTTGGCTGGGCGGTGAGGGGTGGCAGAGATGGGAGATGGGGGAGTGAGTACAACGAAGCAACAGCGAGTACCAGGCACAGGCGGTGACGGTGCATCCTAGCTACTTTTGTACTCTATTAGGCAAAGAGGCGAGTGCGACGGGGGGGTGTGGTGGTAGGCAGAATTGGCAGAATCTTTTGCTGGTCTGTGCTTTTTTTTTTGCAGTCGAGAGTGACTCAACTTCTCCTACACCCAAAACTCCCGCCAGGCAAACCCGACCGCCCTAGTAAACCGTACTATCTGTACTATCTATCTGTACTGCTGTAACCCCAAGGTGTTGACTCTGTTGACTGTTGACTAACGGCACTAGTTCCACGCCCTCTCCGTACATCCATCCAACCACACCCCATCCACATCCCGGTAATGCTGTAGCCTTGCACCTTGGTGGCCTGTTCTGTGGTCCCTCTTTCGATGATTACCAGCACAAGATCCAGCCAGCGCCATCCAGCATCAACAGTCATCAACCAGTAAGAGTGCGTAGATTCTTGGTGTTAGGAGTGTTAGCCCCCTCTTTTTCACCCCCATTTCCCATCTCACACCCCCTCCTCTCCCTCCTTCCCTCCTCCCTCTCTCCCCCCACCCATGTATCTTTAGAAACTTTAGAAATACCCAGCTTGCCACGCCTTACTGATGCAATTCCCATGTACCCACCCTTAGGTGTGGATGCATGTTACTCGTACTTTGTACCATACTTTGCTTTGCACTGCTTGCTTGCACTTGCACATACTTGCACATAACATAACTGTTCTGTCTGTTCTGGCTGTTCATTGGTGTTATTGTGCCACTTGGCTTATGTGGGTGGTACTTGGTGTTACTACTGTTACTACTGTAATTTACATACTGTCAGCAAGTCACTCACTCATCCCTCCACTCATATTCTCCCATACTAATGTATGTGTGTATGTGTATTATGTACCTACACCCACCTCCCACACCCACACCCTTCCCCCCTCCACCCACACCCAAAATCTGTGTGGGCTGTTGGACTGGCTGGTCCCCCTCCCGTCCTCCGCTCTGAGTCTGGTTGCTCCCTCGCTGGCGAAAAGTAACAAAACTCACCCTCTATCCGCCCCATCCCTCCTCCTCCTGGCTACCCAACGCAGAAATGGACGACTTCAAACAGTAGAAAGCGGCTCTTGGAAGTCTGCACTGTGAATACATTTTTGCCAAAAACCCTCCGCTCAATCCTCCTTTATCTTGTCAAACCTATTATCTACTCTTAATCCTCTTGTCGCGACTCTCCCGCTCCAAGAACATCCAAAGCTCCTCCTCTTTGCGACCAGAAAGCAATAACCCGGTCAGAAAGCGCAACCTACACACATCCAACAACCACCCAACCAACAACAAACTCAACCCAACACCAAAAAAATATAACAACAACAAAATATAACGTTTAAGGCAGCATCGCGTCTAAAAGTTCTTTGAAAGCGCTTCTACCAACGAATTACACAGACCTGTAGGCTCCCCCCTCTAAAAAGAGGCGTTTGCCCCATTGTCCACGGGCCTGGAATGAGTATGTCGGCTAACCCATGATTGCCACTCTCAGAGTCACAACCCTCCTCGACACGCCTACCTCCCGCCGCCCCCCGCCACTCTACCTCCTGCCTGGCCTCAACCTTACACGTACTCAAAAGAAGAGACATTTCCTTTATACAAAAACTCCCCTCAGTCACAGTCTTTTTAATTATTTCATATGTATATCAGCGTCCTGGTTTAAAAGCAACAGCAACAGCAACGCGTCCTTACCACACACACCTCTCGATCTTCAATCAACACTCACTTTTCAGATGGTAGCTGGTATCTAGCCACCACCTTGAAAGACTTGATTGAAACTCGGACAGGCCACGATGATCCTCGATATTCTACTTTCTTCTCCAGTCGCCGCTCTTACATTGTCCACCGGTACTATCGTCTCTGAAAAGATCTCCATTGCACGGGTCTCTTCTGTCTAGCCTCTTGCTTTCGCACTCGATTCATACAGCTCTATACAGCAACACACCACGTGTTACGTTTTAGAGTTCAGCATCAAGTCAGGAAGCTCACGGGACTAGTCTACAAACGGTAGTATTCGGTTGGTTTTGTATAGACGGCGACTGGAGTTGCGTCCCTTTACGGAGTAGTGTTCTCTGTCTTCTGATGCAAGTCTCATAACCTCAATTAATTCAAGATGAACAGTGGCGATGTTGAATTGTCGCCGCCTTTTATCACAACATATCATCACGATGGGCCATACAGCTCGTCGCTCTCTTCCTCCGCCTCATCCTCTTGCGCTTCTGTCTTCTCAGATGCCGCCTCTCAATCCTCGGACGATTCGTCAGTACACTCGGGAGGCTCTTCCGACTCAGAACAATCGGACGCCTACTGTCGTACAACCCGGCAATCATCATATCAATCACTAGAAGACCAATGCGACGTCATCACCCCGACGGAATGTTGGCCTAAAAGCGTCCTGGCGAGCAGCGTTCCACAAAAACGCCCGCATCCCAGGCGCACCTCCAAACTCGCCTCGCGCAAAGCGCGCTCCCCCCCTTCTCTGGTTCGACAGTGCGACCGAAAGGTCAGCTTTGTCGATAGCCTAGTCGGTAAGATAAAATATTACCCCTTCAAGCAAGTTCACGTACTCAAACTCTCCCCCCTCAGATTCCTCCGCCCAAATCGTTGAAGCGATCTGGCCCCTTTCCTCCGTCGTGTGCCGCAGCGAGATGGGCGCCAAAGGCGTTCTCCCCCTGCGCACCTTCATCCAAGAGACCCTGCGGCGGTCTCAAACCAGCTACTCCACCCTCCAAGTAGCGCTCTACTACCTCATCCTCATCAAGCCGCACGTGCCCAGCTTCGACTTCACGATGGAGCAGCCGGACGAGGGCCACGCGACGCGCGCCCTGCAGTGCGGGCGCCGCATGTTCCTGTCGGCCCTCATCCTGGCCTCCAAGTACCTGCAGGACCGCAACTACTCCGCGCGCGCGTGGAGCAAGATCTGCGGCCTCAGCACCCACGAGATCAACCAGAACGAGATGGCCTTCCTGGTCGCCGTCAACTGGCGCCTCCACATCACCGACGCCGTCTTCCAGCGCTGGACAGACGTCGTGCTGCAGTTCACGCCGAGCCAGGCCCCGGCGGCCGCGGGCGCGCTTATGGGCGCGCCAGCGACGCCGCTGCCGGACTGGCGCGCGTTGATACTCAAGCTCGATGCTGATCTGGGGAATGTGGAGGCGGTGGTGAGAGAGGCGGCTATGGCGACGGCGGCGACGGTGGCGGTGGTTGCGAAGAGGGCGCGCGTCTGCAGTACGCGTGCTTCTCTTGTGTATCAGTCCTCTTTGTTAAATAAGTGTTTTGAGGCACAGGCTCCTGCTGTGAGGTGAGAGGAGGGCGCTATTATTGGGGATGAGAGAAGAAGAAGAAGAGAAGTAAGAAGAGTAAGAAGAATAAGAGGTGGCGTGTGGAGGTGATAACTGATAACGTAGTGGTGGTGGGGAGAAAGGGGAGAGGGGATGTGGAGGAGAGCGGAGAGTGTATAGCTGGTGGTTGGTGCTGGGGACGTATGATGTACATCTATCGTATCGTAGTTGAAGAGTGAAAGCTTTTCTTCTCTTGATCTGATTGCTACTCGTGCTGTGGGCTTTTGCTTGATTGTTTTGGCGTTTTGAGAGGAGATATCCGGAAAGGGGGGGGTGGATGGATGTTCGGCGCGGGAGGGGGGTGGCTCTTTAGTAGGAGCTTTTACATTTTGTACAGTACAGTATGAACTATTTCCTTAGCTTTTGAATTTGATTCTGCTGTTTTGCTCTACGTTGCTTACTTCCCTTGGGGCGTTGGGAGTTTCTGAGTTGTGAGGGGGAAGGTAAGTTGGAATATGCGTGTCTTACTCTATGATGTGAAGACGAGGCGGAAGGCATCGAAGTGGTTCTCGGGGCGGGTGTTGTTCCGTTAATTTTACACAGTGCGACTCGACGAGAAATGGTAAGTGGACAGACAGTACAGAGAGAATGTTAACAAAGAATCTAGGTATGTATTATTATTAATTATAGGCTTGAACACAGCTCGATATAGAAAATACAAAATTCCTTTATAACCCGTCCAATTTAATCATGCATTTATTCGCATCCATGTTGTAATACCCAACCAAAATAGCGTTGTGGTACGGGCCCCCTTGCTTTTCGTCGGTTGCTGCCGCAACAACACCACCACCCTCGATTTGTTGATCTCCACGTACCTGCCCCTCGCCCCGCCAAAGCACCTCACTACGTCGTGACACCACCACAAACCCAACCCTGGTCCCCGAAAGCACCTGGCGCGCCTCATCCAGGCCTCAAAAAATCCAAACGTCCTGCATTGAAACTGCGAATTCTGTACGCCCTTTCAATTCTCCTACGCCCCTGACCTCTGCGTCTCGAGTGTGTTTACCTTTGCGGGACGGGAGTGGATAAAGAAGGGTCTATTTACAATTTACACGAGCTTGCCTGCCAGCAAGGCACAGCCAACTTTCTCCGCTCCGAACGAATATCCAACCCCACACCTACCTCACCGTCACCCATCCTCACACAAACACCCTCCGCCAACCCCCAAGCTCCATTCCCAAAATGTCGAGCTTCATGGCAAACCTCTTCACGAGCTCGCAAGCCGGGAAGGCGCCCCCCAGCACCTCTTCAGACACCCTCCCCGCCCCTCCTCCACCCCTCTACACACGCTCATCCCACAACGACACCTACCCCGACCGTCCCTCGACCCCTCCTACCAACCGCGCGAGCTTCATCACGCCCACCCAGACACCCCAGGGCAGCCCGTCGAAAAACCGCAACCCGCCCGGCGCAATCGACCTCCCCTCCGCCTTCGACGCGGCTATGAGACTTGCTGCCCCCGCTGCGCTGGACAGTCCCACCAAACTCAGCGCTAGCACACGCCCTCTCAGCCCGGGGAAGAGCAACACCCTGGCGCCGGTTGACGATTCCTATTTCGCGCAAGCATCGAGCGTGGGCGATGAGAGTATCTTACATAAACCCGCCACGGGTGCCGGGGGAGTGGTGCCAGGAAGCCCGACCAGGAAGCAGGGGAAGGAGAATACGTCGCCAGCGGGGCGGTTAGGGGAGTTCTCAGCGGCGACGGTGACGGCGCAGAATCCGGCGGCGTTGTCGAGGCAGGAGATTTATCAGTTGAGGGATCAGCAGCAGGCGCCGCCGACGATTAGGAAGTATAATACGCAGCGCGGGCTGACGGCGGAGGAGCTGGAGATTCTGCAGAAGCCGAATGTGAAGAGGTTGGCGAATGTGACGCAGCTTTGTGAGTTTATTTTTAGGTCGCAGGGTGTAGGGTGGGGGTTTGGGAGAGTGTGGCTAATTGGAGTTGGCAGATTTCCTCGATTACTACTTTGATCTCCTGACGTATGTTGGGACGCGCCAGACGCGATTGAATCATTTCAAGGCTGAGTATCCGGCTCCGCCTGAGACGCCGGTGGAGACGTATGATCCCCTCTGGCATAAGTATACGGGACGCGAGCGTGCGAATTTGAGGAAGCGCCGTGTTCGTCTTCGCCAGGGTGATTTCCAGATTCTTACCCAGGTCGGGCAGGGTGGGTATGGGCAGGTGTTCTTGGCGCAGAAGAAGGATACGAGGGAGGTTTGTGCGTTGAAGGTTATGAGCAAGAAACTGCTTTTTAAGCTGGATGAGATTAGACATGTTTTGACGGAGAGGGATATTCTCACGAATGCTAAGAGCGAGTGGTTGGTTAGACTGCTGTATTCGTTCCAGGATGAACAGAGTATTTACTTGGCGATGGTAAGTAAAAATGCACAGCCTGGAGTTTTATTACTAACTATATCCAGGAATATGTTCCAGGAGGGGATTTCAGGACACTCCTGAACAACACCGGCGTCCTGGCCAACCGCCACGCCCGATTCTACATCGCCGAGATGTTCTGCTCCGTCGACGCCCTGCACCAACTCGGATACATCCACCGAGATCTGAAGCCAGAGAACTTCCTCATCGACTCCACAGGCCACGTCAAACTCACCGACTTCGGACTCGCCGCCGGCATGCTCGCCCCTGGCAAGATCGAATCCATGCGCATTAAGCTTGAGCAAGTTGGCGAGACATCCGTCCCCTTCGGCAAGCCAATGGAACAGCGTACCGTCGCTGAGCGCCGCGAGGGATACAGGTCTATGCGTGATAGGGACGTTAACTACGCGAAGTCCATTGTTGGGTCACCCGATTACATGGCCCCTGAGGTTCTCAAGGGCGATGAATATGAGTTCTCGGTCGATTACTGGAGTTTGGGATGTATGTTGTTCGAGGCGCTTACTGGGTTCCCGCCGTTCGCTGGAGCAACTGTGGATGAGACCTGGAAGAACTTGAAGCACTGGCGCGAAGTTCTTAAGAGACCCACGTGGGAAGACCCGAATTACTTCATCAGCAACCGCACGTGGAACTTCATCACCAAGTATGCCCCCCTCCATTTCTCTCCCCCTTTAATCATAGCAACGACCCCTAACTAACAACACCACTCAGCCTCATCGCCTCAAAAACCAAACGCTTCCCCAACATCCAATCTGTCTACTCGCACCACTACTTCGCCGAAGTCGACTGGACCACCCTGCGCACGCAACGCGCGCCCTTCGTCCCCGAGCTCGACTCCGAGACCGACGCCGGCTACTTCGACGACTTCAGCAACGAGACGGACATGGCCAAGTACAAGGAGGTGCATGATAAGCAGGCTGCGCTGGAGAATATGGCAGATCGAGAGGGGGCAATGGGGAAGGCGCTGTTTGTGGGGTTTACGTTCCGGCATCGCAAGACGGGGGGAGAGGGGGGGGAGAGCCCGAGGAAGAGTATTTTGGGGAATGAGGGGGGGTTTGGGACTATGCTTTAGTGTGTGGTTGCTGGAGGATTGGGGATGCGGGGAGTATTGACCGGTTGGAGATGAGAGAGTCACTTGGTGACTGGACGAGGGAGTCTTGGGCTGGGTGGGGAAGGAGTTGGGCGCATGCGTGCGCGCTAAAAGGGGGGATGGGGGGCTTACGGCCTTTATGTATACCTGGCTTCTTCGCTTTTATGCATGTGTTTTTTTGCTACTCTTGCTGTCTACTATTGTATTAGGCGCTCTGTTTACTATTTTTGCGGGCGTGGTGGTGGATAAGCCCTTTTTTAGAGATGTTGTATCTGTTTTATTGGGGACTAGAGATCAGGGGATGATAGGGGGAGTAGGAAGGGTTCCGAGTTCCGAGTGCCGAGACGGGCGCTGTGGAGATGATGGAGATCCGGAGATAGACAGAAAGACAGACAGATGTCTGTGTGGGAATAGAATCTTTCAAGATGAGATGTGTGCTTGTTTTCATACCCGTGGGCCGGGTTTCTGGATTAACTCGCTACCTGGTGATACGCAGTTCCGCACCCCCCCTCAGACGGAGCCAGGGACGGGAGATGGGGGTTGTTGTTTACGATGAATGTGCTGTCACGATATGCAAGAATCAGGTGATTTTATAAGTATGCAGCGACGGTGCGACCTGAGAATCGTCATCTATGTGTGCTACAAGGGTTGTTTTTGTGGTAAGTGGGGTTTGAATAGGTAATGAGCTGTGTGTGGGTGGGAGCTGAATGTGAGACTTGTATAACTGGAAGTGAAGCTGGAGTAGGACTTGTGGGTGGGATTGAAGCTGGAGTAAGATCTGTGATTGAAATTGAGGGTGGGAGTTAGACATGTCGACGTGGTCATAGTGGCGAGCTGGATTGTTCTATGGAGCTGGATTTGTCTATAAAGAGCTGGGGTTTCTGCTTGTTCTTAGGTTCCTCATCCGTTTATCAAATCGCAAACATACAGTAAAACTTTCAAACTTCCCGATCTAAATACTACTTTTCTAGAAAAGAACTCTGCAAAAATGGGTGCCAATGTTATCACCGAGTATGCATATCTGTCCAGGCCATCTTCGGAGAATATATAGCTAACAGGATTACTCAACAGAGTCCCTACCGTCCCCATCGCCGCACCCAGCAGCAAAGCCCATGCCACCGTCGTCGTCGCACCTGGCGTCAAGGTAACCCTACCCCCTTACTCTTCTCCACTCACTTCAGGCAACTATTTCTTCCCGCTACAACTGCGTGGCCGTGCAGCAGCAGGGTCATGAACACCTGCTGAAACGCACATAGCCGTCTCCTACCGCACTTTCACACTCCTATTCCCCGACTAGTGTCGAGGTATCAAATACGCACTACTTGCTATTATGCACTGTGCAGCGCGGCTATTAATCCGCCAATCCATGCAACGCCGTCTTGGCCTCCGTAGATATGGGGGAAAATGCCCTGCCTCCGTTAAAGAACTGAGGGGCTGTTTTACTTGGAAGCCACGAGCATCCGTGTTTATCTGCCGCCGCGTGCAAGCCATATCCTGCTACAATGCTATTCCTTGGCCAGTGCTGAGGAGCTATGAAACAAGGCGGTGATTATATGCAGATGTGTAAGGTCGTCTCTCCTTCCGTCGTTACTCCCTAAGAACGCTGCTGCCTGCAAAAGGAAGCACGCACCGTTTTCCTGGTCTGAGGCGTGAAGTCACGCTGAGTTCATCCGCAAATGCATGCAGAGGCTGTCTGTCTCCCACTGCAATGTTCACATTATATTTCCTGAGCAGTGCCAAGGAGAACAAGCGCCATTTACTATTTGTGAGCTTATGCAGCATGGCGGTGTTCATAAGTCGAGCCTCTTTTCCTATTGTGCGCTGCCCAACGGGGCTATCTATGTCCAGATACTGGGACTTCTAGGCGGCTGTCTCCTACTGTCTTATAACTGGGCACAGGCATGCCTGTTAAAGAGCCAAGCGTGATTTCATTTCCTATTGTGAGCAGCGTAATGAACGAGGTTGCATTCGCCTGCTAACATACACGGAAGATTGTATCGGGTTGCCGTCTTGACTGCCTATGGTAGAGCGCTGTTCTTCATTGTAAGTCCGTCCCGCAAGACCCCACCTCTACACTGCCCATTCTCTAACACCAGCCAGGTTTTCCCATGCCTCAAGGGCTAACTCTCAATACACACTCATTCGATACAAGAGCTTTGGACTTCAACCCAGCCTCCCATCCTTAGCCGCGGTGCTCCGACGCAGTTGCGTGGAAAGCCGCAAGGGGTCGGGGGGGGGGGGTAGTTTAAAACACCAAAAAAAAACCAAATCCACAGTCTTTACCTCAATAATGTCTTTTTCTGGATGTGCATCTATCTGTCTGAAGTCCTAGTGTTGGGGTCGTAGAATTACTCGCTGTGGGTTGTTAGTCCACATCGGCTCCTCGTTCAGGGGTTACCCCAAAATCCACAAAACAGAACAAACTCTCTACATCACCACTCATCACCTCCTTTTCCCACCCACTCCGTTCCCACCCACCCCTCATCACCAGCATAATGCAAAGAAGGAACACACAACATTATATCATAGAATTTGTTTCATTTCGGGTATATCACTAAAACATCATCCCCTCCCTTCCCCACTTTCCCCCCTTCCGCCTTTCCCTCCAATCCCCCTTCTCATCTCCCCCATCCCCTTTTCCCCCTCCCACCCCAACAAACTCCTTCCACCCCAACCCCCCGCGCAAAACAAAAACCCCAGCCAGCTTCGACAAGAACCAACAAACAACTACAGACAACAAAACATCGAACAACAACAACAACAAAAAAGCTAAAAAAAAGATCAATCCCCCCGCCTCCCGTCCATACCACCACCAAAAAAATCCAAAAAGCAAAAGATCCGTTTCCCTCGTCTAACAAAAACTCCACGGTCTAATAAAAAAGCAAGAAAAACAAGATGAGTAAAAGCTTGGTGTGTTTCGTCGTGATAAAAAAAAAGCAGAAAAGTCGGACGGACCATGGAGCAGACATCATACACTGCGCCTTCCGGGATGCAGTGACACCAAAAAGAGTCCACCCAGCCAACCAGGATTATCCAGCCGTGATGATGCATGTATGTCGCGCCAGCTTTCGTATAGCGCGGATAACCAGATCCCCTCCCTCCCTTTCCTTTCATTCGTCGATGATGATGTGTATTAAGCACATAAAAAAAAAGCCATGTGCGCGCCAGCCATCGTCGTTCAAGCCTAACGTATCCCCCCCCCCTATGACAGGGACGTCACGTCATGAAAACCAAACCCTCCGCGGTGTCTTCAGATCACAGAGACATAGTAAGCCACTCCCACTCCTGACTCCTAGCACTCGTCCCCTGCCCCCCCGGAGCCCCCTGTCCCATCCCCCCCAAAGCAGCCTGTCCCATCCCTCCCACCCCACCACCGGGCCTCTGCCCTCCACCAAACGCCCCCGCACCACCACTAATCCCCACCCCCATCCCAGCAACACTACTCCCCAACATCCCCAACCCAGCCTGTCCCATCCCCATCGCCCCCTGGAGCGGTCCTCTGACCATCCCTCCTGCACCTGCACCTTTCTCAGCGGAAGAGAGTGACGACATCCCCACAGCAGACATGGTGTTGCGATCATCGACATCCATCCCCCCCCCGCCATCGGCAGCAGAGGCACTCTTACTATGCCTCCTCTGCCGCTTCGGCGGGACAGCAACGGCAACTACCCTCGGCACACCCACACCCCCAGCCCCAGCGCCCAAGCCAGGCGTACTCTTCGGCGGCGCCGCCGCAATAGGCACCACCCCCTTCACCCCCGACGAACTAGTTGTACTCCCATGATAACTCGTCGGCGTGCTCCCCGCCGTGCTATTGCTCCCCTGCGCCCCCGCCACACTCTGCGGACTCTCCGAGTCGAGCGGTGCATTCGGGCTCGCGCCCGCGGACGCGAGATGGGTGATAGCAGCAGACGAGTTCTTGCGCGTGTTCGTCCCGTTGGTGTTCGCGCCACTACTAGGTCCCGCGCTGCCGATCTTCTTGACGTTGCGCGTGGAGGTGGAGCTGATGAGCGGGACGGCGGTGGTGGTGGCGCCGGAGCCGCGGTTGCGCTTCTTGATGACGTCGGTTTTTAGGGAGAGGGGGCGCACGACGCCGTGGAGCTTGAGGAAGAGACCGCAGGCGTTGCAGAGGGGGTGGCCTTCGGGGTTGCGCCGCCAGAGGGGGGTGGTCTGCGTGAAGCAGTTGGTGCATGTTGTAGGTACCCCAGGGTCAGCGGGCCCGCCGGCCGCGGAGAGGTTAGTACTCGATCCCTTTGGAGCGGGGCTGCTGGGTCGACTAGGCGCGACGGAGCTGAAGCCGCTCATGTTGCCTGTCATATCCGGCGGGCTGTTAGGCGTGGATTGTGCGGTTTGGCCGTCGAAGATAGTTTGTTGTGCCGCCGGAACGTTGGGGGTTGAGGCCGTGCGGGGGATTTTCTGGCGCCGGTCGCTGCCATTACGGCGGTAGTCGGAGATGGAAGCGCTGGAGGCGTGGGTGTGCGATCTACCCAGGGAACCACCGCTGTCGTCCCAGTCAAGGGGGGAGATCTCGCTGGTGGTGCCGCCTATGGTGACTTGTTTCCGGGGAGGTCCGCCGGGGTACCGAGCAGCTTGCGTGTTGAACTGTCCGGGTAATGTTGCGTCCCATGCGAGTCCCATGTTGGCATCCTCCATGGGAGAAAGCGAGTAATCGTTGGAGTTCATCAGAGTGCGATCAGCGAACGCCGTGCCCTCAGTCTCCTCTCCGTCAGAATCAACGTCGAGGTTATACGAGCTGTCCTGAGTGCCCATAGTAACACCAGGGGATTGCATGTTATCATGCTGGAAGACCTGCGAAGGGTCGATATGCTGCTGCATGCCAAACGCCCCTGAGCCGGTGTACGAAGACGAGTACATGGCATTGCCGTTCTGGTTGTACATATACTGCGGTCCCAGCGAGTTAGAGAGGTTCGACGGGTTACGCCTGAAGTTCTGCGGCCTCTGCTGCTGGCGCATATCCATTCCCTGGTTGAAATACATCTGCCTGTCCCCCTCATTTCCAACTTGCGGAGTCGATCCGGCAGACGGATAGTTAGAGGCCGGCGGAGAATAGAAGTCGTTGGAGTTGAGCGATGACGGGCCCATTGAGGCATTATTGTACATGTTTGGGAAAGCCCCATACGGCACCAATGGCGACTGAGACGGCGAGAAGCCGTAGTTCTGCTGGTATTGACCCGCAGAGTTCATAATCTGCTCCTGATCGAGGTTGTACGTGTCGAGGTTAAAAGGAACGCTGTGGTGGTGGCTATGCTGGTTCAGCATCCCGTATTGGTCGTTAAGTGAGTATTCATTGAGATCCGCATCCATCTCCGAGTGGTTCGGTATCGTGATTCCAATCGGCGGTACATGAGGCGAGAAATCGGCAGGTCTCTTGCGAGGCTGAGTGGGATGTTAGAACTGTAAAGCAGGAGGACATAGATAACAGCAACTGGGCTAATAATATTAAAAACACATACCCGACGCTCATCAATGCTCGTCTTCCTGACATGGCGCTGCACATAACTAAACTCGTCCTGGTGCTGCGTCACCGGAACCGACTGCGGAGCAAACGCCGTCACAGGCTCCTTGCGCATCTTAATCGGTATGGCCGAGGCGACTGCACTCGGCTGTCTGTTATCCCTCAAGTCCGGCGGCGACATGTCCGTAGGCGACGCCATGTTGGAGAAGATGAACTCGTCGATACTCATATTATCCGGGCTCTCATCGCCCTGGTGCATCGAATTGCGCAGTTGCGCAATGCCACTCGGCGCACTCGCATTACGCTGTTCCTCCTCCTCACTACAGAAACCGTCAGTCTCAAACCCCAAATCACAATTGGCCTCCCCATCCCCAGGAACCAAAAAACCTACCGAGCAGCCGCAGCCTCCTCCTCCTGCCTCCTCTTCCTCAAACTCATAGCCATCATGCGCCACGTCAAATTCTCCATGCGCTCCTGATTCGGCAACTGCTTCTTCGTCTTGCTATACAGTCTCCATATCTGCGTCGCGAGCGGATCCCTGCGCTGCATCTCATCCGGGCTATCCAGCTCCGCCGCGCCACTCGCGCCGTCCTTCCACGTCGGGAATATCGTCTCGCGCAGCATCTCCTTGCGCGCCGTCCCAGGCGGTGGCGTCGTCGTCGTCGTCGTTGCGAAATCACGCCGCTCGCTGGTAATGCTATCGTCTACGGTCTCATCATACGAGTCGTCATACGTATCGCGGTACTGCTGATGCGGCGGGATCTGCTGGAGATTCTGCCGGCCACCCGGCGGCCTACGGGGGAAGCGGTAATCGTGCTGCGTCGTTGCGTGGGCGTTGGAAGAAGCCGTGGTCGTGGTGGCGGCGGATGGGTGAGCGGCGCCACTGAAGTCGTATAGATCGTGCTGCTGGTCTGCGAATCCCCCACGCTCGCCATATTGCGTCGAGGCCATGGCAGAGGCCCGTGGGCGAGACGGAGCGCCCGCAGAGGCGATGGGGGTTGCTGATGCTCTCGGGGTCGGGGAGACGGGGGCTGCGCGCCCAATGTTGGATGTCTTGGTTTGTCGATGGAGGGAAGGCTGGAGAGTATGTGCGTGTGTGTTGTGTGTATTGTTGTATACCTTTTTTTTTTAGGTGAGAGGGGGGAGGCGATAAGGATATGGGTGTGGGTTTGTGGGAGGATTGTTGGAGAGAGGTTGATGGGGATGGATGGATGTTTCTGCTTTCTTTTTGCGATTGGTGTGGCTTGTGGTACTTTGGGGTTGTGGTTGTGAGATTCGGCTGACCCCCAAATTCGAGAGGAGAGTGATGGTGGATGGGGATGGATGGGGGGAACGGGGGACGGGGTTGATGGGAAGGATTTCCGAGTCCGGGCGGCGGGGACGGGGTTCAATAAATTTAGGACGGCGGTGGGAGGTGCTTCGGTACGTGGGAGTTGGTAGAGGCGGTTGGTAGTGTAGTTTGTAGTATGGGTAGTAGGTAGTGTTGTCGTAATGGAGTATTTTGGTAATTGCGAAAGTCTAGAGGCGGCGGGATAGTTGGGGGATTGGACTTGATTGATTGGATTTTAAGTGGTGACGGGGAGGAGCATTGGACAATTTAAAATACAGAATACAGTGAGTAACACGATAAAAGAAGTTGAGTAAGTGTAAGTTGGAAGTTTAAGAGTGGGAGGAGTAGTAGAAGAAGAGGAGGGATGGATAGAGTGGAGTGGAGTGGGAGGGAGTGGGAGTGGGAGTGGGAGGTGGAGGGGGAGGAAGGGGAGGGAGGAAGGGTTGAGCGGAAGTTTGTTGGAGATGGGATGGGAAGGGAGGGAATGGGTTGATTAGTTAGTTCGACGTTGGTAAGAGCATGGAGTACTCGTACGTACAGCAGATTTGAGTGAGGAGGAGAAGTAGAGTGTTAAGAGTGTTAGGAGTTAGCAGTAGTAGTAATCTAGTATGCAAAGTGGGCAGAGTAGAGTTAGAGTAGAAGTGTGTATTGTACTATAGTATTTTGGGTATAACGGTGAGATCCATCCCATCCCGCTCCGCTCTCTTTCTCGTCTCGCCTCGTCTACACGGCGGAAAATATACCCCCGAACAAAAGACCCAAGAGAGATAGTCTAGAAGGGTAAGGGTAAACAATGGGGAAAATGGGGACAATGGGGAATGGGGGGTGATATTTCGGATGATCTCGCGAACAGGACGAATACTATAGGAAGTGGAGGAGGGAGAGAGATAGGGTAGGAAAGGCATAACAGACGGACAACAGACAGAGAAGCGCCGCTGATGAGCTTGTATGTGTGTGGGCTGGCTGTCTACCTAGCTAGACTAAAAGCAATAAAAAAAAGCATCTAGTAAAAAGCTGCCTGCCTGCCTGCTTACATCGGTATCCCGAGTCAAGTCCATCCCCCTCCTCCCACCCATCAGTTGCTGGCCGCCGTGCAACCCGTCCGCCAGTCAGTCAAAAATCAGGTAAAAAAACCGCCGCCCACCCGCCGCCTCCCCCTAAAAACCGCCATGGAACGAGCGAGGAGGGAATGGGAAGGGACTAAGGCTAGCTGTATTATAGAGGTACCACGCTATGGGTCTTGGAGGTCACTCGGGGCATAGTTTGACTGCGAGTTTGAGGTGTTTTGGGGTGGGGTGAGGTGGTGGGGGGTACTTGGGAGGGTACTTCCCTTAACACACGGAGGGGACTACGAATACACTACCCTTTGCCCACTTTACGATAGCCATCCTACTAGAGGGATGGGGGGATGGGTATGGGTATGTATCTGCCAGCCCAGGGTCGCGCATCACCTCTCGGGGTTAATTTACGATACCGTGCTGGGGGATATGTGGATGTGGATGTGGATGTGGATATCCAACAGTAGAGGGGTGGTAGTGCGCGAGACAGGAGGAGAGAGGGAGGGAGGGAAGGTGAGGACAAGATGGATGCACATGCGTAGAGTACAGCAGCAGAGGAGCGCGTGCAATGGGTTACAGAAGAGGAGGAGGAGGAGGAGGAGGAGGGGAAGGAGGGAAGGAGCAAATCGGGGATATTACCACATCCAAGCCATCCGCGACAATACAGTACTCTATCAATTCAAGCCTTTCATCAATGATCAAAGAGAACAGCTCAGCACACCCCTCCCTCCCTCCGGAGTATGTGTTCAATACCCCATGCACGTCGTATATTGAGGCTGCTTCCCTTCCAAGGGTATAGCAGTAGCGCACTTCTTCACTTCGGTCAATATCCTATCCCATCATCCCACCCCATCCCCCCCAAACCTTCCAACCATCCCACATCCCACCCACTTTCAGGGAGAGTAAGTGGGGGTGCAGCAGCACCGGCTTGGCTTGCAGGATACCTTCTGCCGCCCTCCCCGTCCGTCTAGGGTAGGGTCTGTCTGATCTGACCGGAGCTCGATGCCTCGCAAGGTAATATTGGAGAAAAAGAGGCGTAGGTAGTAAGGGTGGGAAGGACCCAGCGCGGAGGACCCTTGGCCGCTTCCTCGTGTGGGTACTGTATGTACTAATCTACAGTCTGTGGAAAGGGAAAGGGAAGGGAAGGGGAGGGAAGGAAAGGAAGGCAAGTGGGATAGTTTAGATTTAGTTTAGCCACACCCTTCGCCTCCCTCCCTCCCTCTTCCACCGCTCCGATATACCACCCACGCCATTGGAGCACCGGCTCGACGTCCGTCCTCCCCTCCTAGCCGACGGACGGCGGTGGTGGATGAGGATTTAAGGTGAATGAAGCCCATGCAAGTGCGTGGTGGCCCACCCACACCCCATGGAGCCAGCTGCACGATCATGGTATGTGCATCGCATCGCCTCTTGTGTTGACGAGCATGCGACCCACGCCCGCCAACCGTCGCAGCGGCTGTTGTTATTGGGTGCTGCACACCACTTGCCACCCCTTGTAACTTCGCCGTGGGGGTTCGCGACATCCGGAGGGGGGAGGAGGGCAGCGAAACACTATTTGGAAAGATAGACAACCCACCCTAGTGTGAAGGCAGTACTTCGGTTCTGTAGCAAGCAAGCAAGCAGAGACACGGTTTTATGATACTTCGTATAATAACGGCAGTAAACCGGCATTGCTGCCTGCCCTCTATCCGGTTGGTTAAAAGGGGATTTTTCTTCTTGGCCTGCAGCACCTGGCTGGCTGTTTCTTACGGCTGAAGAGAGAGAGACAGACGTGCAGCTCTTCGATACAAAACCGCTATTTGTCGCGGGATGATTTGATTCGAAAACTGTCGAACCTACCCCCCCGAATTCCCAGTTCTAGAAACGATACTTCCGTACTAGCAGTTGCAGCAAGCAAAAGTACCTTCGCCCTATCGCCCCGAAGTTCTACCCACAGCGCTATAAATAAGCGCGAAAGCTTCGGGATGCGCGCCACAAAAAAAACAGGCCCGTTATCACGAAACGCCACGTTGGCGATGGGGCAAAAAGGGAAGCCGTCGTGGGTCGGTAGGTACGGAGCTCAGGAGAGAGGATTTGGGTTATCGAGTAGTGCGAATTAGCAGCAACTAGCAGCACTTAGCAAATCTGTCCAAGTGGCTCCTGCGCTCCCCGAGTCTCTCCGATATTCAGCGGATTCAGCCTGTAATACAGCGTCTCTACACCAGAAACCCACAGCTGCAACTTCCGTATGCTGACGAATTCGGGGGATCCGGGTATCGCCGAGATCTTGGGGGGCACGATGGGGACAGATAGAACGATATCGGCAGGCACTTGTGGACGGACCGATGTAAATCCGGGAGATAAGGTGTGACCAGACGATAGCTGACATCGATTTTTTACCGGCGGATTGAGCAACGTGGGGATGCGTATCGACGCCGAACCGAGATCCACTCACGGCCCAATGATAAGCATTTGATAATGCGGCTGGGCTTTGTTTTTCCGCGAGCACGGTGGTCGTGGCTGCCATGGGGAATTGTTTCGAGTAAGGTGTTCCCCCAGGGCTAGGGCGACTGAAGCTTGTGTGTGCGGGGAAGGTCCGAAGTGTGCTGTAACCCTGAAGATTCGGAGTGTCGTGTGTGCCTGGGATCCTGTAAGGGGTCCAACAATTTCTTATCCCCTATTATTCACAACAGTTGTTCATGCAATGCTGATAATGTGCGAAGGGTGTCGGCGATGTGCGGTTTGGTCGACGAGCATGTCTAGCTGAGGAATAAGCACATATTAGTTGGGTTTGGGCGTGAGACGTGGGATGGAATACCACGAGACAACGAAGGAGTTGCGCGACCTCATCCTTGAAACACCTACATCCACCAGGCTTGTGGGCATCAGGCTTATGGACGGCAAAGACAACAGTGAAGTTGCAAGGTGGTAGAACTTGAGGCGGCAGTAGATGATAGACACTTGCTATACCAACCGACCAACTAACTGAGTGGGCGATGAGCTGGAGAAAGAGGTCTCACATTGTAGGTTCAGTTCTCCATTCTACACTGCCATGGCCCTGCTAACCATTGAAAGTTCACAGTGCGTTTGATCGTATCCCCCTCTCGAAATGATATTCGAAACAGTCCTCCGACTTCATGAAGGTATATCGAGGTGCGAAGGGGGAAGGTCTTCGAAGGGGCCAATATAAAAAACACTACAAGTGCAGTGTCCGATTGACCTTGAGGAATTGGCGCATAAGAAGAACCGCAAGAGCAAAAGTGCAGCACTGGACAAATATAAATACAAGAACAAAGTGAACACGGCCTCTCTGCCAGTGACTGCGTTGACCGCAACCGCTCTGCTGAAATTTCGATTCGGCCATAGTTTGTCAGTTGCGAGCTTCTCCTCCTCAGTAGAGCCCAAAAAAAAGTTTTCACCGAACGTGCATATCTACAGGTTTATATAGAGCCACCGCAGATTCCCATTCTTATCTCGTCTTCCAGGATAGGAAGGGACATTCCAGCCACTGGTGATGAAAGCTGTGGCCACGGTTTGATAGAGAGAGAATTTTCCTATCTCTACAATCACCTCACAGCGCCTTATCTCTGCCCTCTGCCCTGCCCCCCTGGGAATCTCCTGGATTTCCGGTGACACATCCGGATGTAGATGCCACGCAGGGTCGCTCACACCATAATCCCTCACGTTTGGGTCTCGCACTGTAGTACTGCAGTCAGCCTCATGGTTTATGACCTCATCGTTCCCGTGAAGCATAAATTCTGCAGCCCTCCACGAGGAAGGAGCTATCCATATCAACTATCAACCTGGACCGCCCTTTCCCCATCCACCCCAAACTTCTCCTCCGCACACAACCACCCCAAACCCTTGCAACACACCCATCCCCATAATTCACGTGATATCCACCCACCCACCACCAACCAACTCCGCAGCGTAACCCTAAACGGCCAAGCGGCGCACAAAAAGTCACGTACATCCGGCTGTAAATACGCCCAGTCGCTTTTCCCAGTCCATGCCCATAAAGGGACCGGCGCTTCCTCCATTCGAACGAAACTTGTCCTCTTTCATCGCCCACATATACCCCAAACGATAACGAAGAGACACAATTCGCACACACACACACACGCCGCCGTACTATACCGCATTACCACCTACCCGGGGGCCCTCAATAATTATACACGCCACCATTCCCGATTCTCCCAAGGCAGAGAAAGGAAAGCCCACAAGAAAGAGCGGTCCAAGTGTTGCCTGATACAGAGTCCCGAGAGGCTTTACCCAGTTGAGCGGAAGCGTTGATACTGTACGTACGGCATTTCGTGTGTGTATATTTTTGGCTGTGGTTTTTTATGTTATGCGTTATTCTATTTTTATGCGGCTGTGGGAGAGACGGTGTGATGGGGAAGTCCCCCGATTCATTTCTCAGCCTCGCATTGCATTGCTTCGAAGATCCTTCCGTCTGTCTGTCGTCGTTCGTCGGCTCACCCCTTCCGACTCTATTTGAGGAGAGAGGGGGAGTAGCTGAAACAGCGTCGCGAACGCACGCTTTGGTCCCCTGTTTTGAGGGCGTTGCGATCGTCGCTGCACTTCGAGGTGATGCGGGCAGTTGTACCTCAGCTACACCGACGCTCGCAATTGAGGGAAGGCAAGACACAGAACAGATCAGATCAGTTCAATACTGCTAGATGCGCTGTCGTCACGATATCCTCTCCAGCCTCCTTCCCCAAATCGTCCGCTCAGTCCAGACCTCATGAATTCAGCCTACCTGGCTGGTTACTTCATCTGTTTTCGGTCGCAGGGCAAGTGCCACGGCCAAGTACGGTGAACAACTCAACCTGCGAGCGCAGTGCGGGCAGTGGGCTAGTACGCGTTGGTACTCGCTGGACCCTTGGATGGCTCTGTAGCGTGCCGTAGCTAAGTGCGTTCGTCGAGGGGCGGGCGTTGGCAAGCGAAACCAGCGAGGTTGGTTGCCGTTGGTGCTGTGCTGGTGCTGGTGCTGGGCTATCACATGAGAAGTGCGCTTGGGGGTGTCTGTCGGTGGCCGGATTGACGGGCTGGGAATGAGTGGGTGGGAAAGACCCCACTCCACATTACAGACGCCCAGACATGCCCAGACACCCACAGCCCACAGACAGGAGCCACGGCACACGGTCGCAGTTAGATCTCTAGGCTGGGCTGGCTGGGGCTGGCTGGGGTGGGCCCTTCCACACCTTCCACACAACTTTCCCAATCCCACTCATTCCTGCCACCTACTCTCCCCAATCCCACACCCCATCATCCTCCACCAACCATCCAATTACCACTACTCCCCTACTCCCACCCACCTACACCCACCCCCCCCCTTATTACCATTTCCCCGCTCTCCCACACTCCCACCACACCCCCTCGCTGCTATGCTGCTTTCATCCATCCCGCCCCCTCTACAAACCATCCCTCATACACTCTTCCGCGCCCCGAAAGCAGCTTCCCACCTTTCCCCTTCCAATATCTGTGTCGTTAATTGAACGCCATTTGTTATTACTCCAATACTGCAACGGATCAATCGTTTTTGTTGGCGTACATACAACTCTATCTTATCGAGAAATCTCAATTGTGGATTCCAATATCCCCCCACAGAGAGAGAGAGATCTGACACCGCCCGCAAATTGGAGCAAGACATACATACCGGAGTACTAACTGTTGCCAAGTAAGGAAGAAGAGCGACCAGTTCCCGTGCATAACCTGTCCCCGCTGTTTGCCAGAACCACCACAGCACACCAACAAGCCCAGAACACACGCTGGACACCACGACCAGAGAGAGGATATTATATTGACGATCAAGTGTTCTGTGATTCAGAGCCTCAATATTTTGTATGTACTCTACTTCTTTGTGCTGTACTACTCTACTCTACTCTATCCCCATCTACCACTACCACTACCACCACCACCACTCTATTCTACTACCCTTCCCCTGTCACTGTCAGCATTTCCATTGCTTGGGGTCGCCGGCAGTGGCAGTCGTGGTTACCTCAAACCAGCCAGGCTGTACCAGTTGTGCAGTACCAGCATTCCTTCCACTACCACTACCACTTCCACTACGGCGCAGCACTGCGCTGTACTTTGCAGTATTCGCTGCACTGTACGGCACTGTGCTGCAACTCCAAGACTGCTCCTTCCTTCCTTCCACTCTACTTTCCCTACTTTCCCATACAACCCACTACGGCAGGTACAACACGCTACAACGCGCTACAGCACACATCCGTGCGTTTCTGCCCTACCGTAGCTGTACCGCTGCCGTACCTCTTCACCCATCCCCCCCCCAATCCCCCCCCCTCCCCCCGCCGTACCGACCGTGACTCTCGCTTCCTGCTTAACCCCAACACTTGGACGCTGGCTGATATCCATCCCTTCCCACACCAGACTCGATCAAGCATTGCCGGCACCCAGGTTTCTGCCAACCAAACCCGTTACTCTCCACATTGTCTACACATCCCCCAGAAGCAGTTAAGGCTCATCGGCAGCTATCTCGATTCAGAACAAAACATTTCACGTCACACCCAAAAGGAAAGCTTCTTTTAAGAATGGCCGACATTACTGATCAACAACCCGACCAGGCGTCGCCTTCCGTACTCGAGGACGCGCATGCCGTGGGCAATGGCACCGCGACCGCGCCCGATAACCGTGGTGTGAAGCGTCAACGCCCATCCACCGCCGACGATGATGATGATGATGATGATAAGCCCGGGCGCGAGAGGAGGAAGATTGAGATCAAGTTCATCGCCGACAAGTCGCGTCGTCACATCACCTTCTCCAAGCGCAAGGCCGGAATCATGAAGAAGGTGCGCAATCGTCCCCGCCCGAATCGACGCGTCAATCGCGTAAACTCTCGGTCGCGAACATGCTAACAATGATTATCCAGGCATACGAGTTGTCTGTTCTGACTGGCACGCAAGTCCTGTTGCTCGTTGTCTCAGAGACTGGACTTGTGTATACGTTCACCACCCCGAAGCTTCAGCCTCTTGTCACCAAGGCTGAGGGCAAGAACCTCATTCAGGTATGCGCTCTCACATGCCGCCACCAAATTGACCTGTCACTAATGTTCATTTTAGGCCTGCCTTAACGCTCCAGAGCCAGCCGGCAACAACGAGAACGGCGTCGAGGATCAAAACCCCGTCGAGTCGCCCGAAGAACCAGCTCCACAACACCTCCCCGCCCAGCAAAGCAGGCCTGGCATGCAGACGGCGCCCATGCACCCCAACTACCTCCCCGTCGACGCGCAACAAATAGCCTACCAGAACTATCTGGCGCAACAGCAGCAGCAGCAGCGCGGGGGCTACCCAGGCATGCCCCCACAAGCCGGCATGCCGCAGCAGCACTCGCACCAGGCATGAGTGTAGCGTACCCACATCCACGTATAATCAACCTGCATTCGCTGCGGACACAAAAAGCCGACTATTTCCACACAACTGATACCCGAGTTTATAAAATGCGAGACGCCGCCTGCACTCCTCCTCCCTGTCCGCGCCGCCGGCGTCAATTGGAATTATTTCTCAAAAAAAAAAAGAAACCCACACCGTTTGTTTTTTTTGCTGACCGTTGGTGTTACTGGTGCTTGATGTTTTTTTTGTGTGTCCTCGCCTCCATGGGATTGATAACTGGAGGGTCATCCTCATCCCCTCTTGTTTTGCGCTCTGCTACTCTCGTCTCGTCTTCGTGTCGTCTATGTCTCTCTCTCTCTGTGTCATCGTCGTCGTTTTCAAGTTAACTTTATATTTCTTTTGATTGTCCTTACATTAGTCCTCTCGCTGCAACGGATTTATATTTTTCCCACGCAGTTGTTCTTGGACGGGTGTGGTTGCCAACTTGTCAGAGTGGGCGACGGGGACTGTAGCGTGGATTTTTATAAATCTTTCTGCTGGGGCTTGGGGGGGCGGGATGGTATGGTATGGGAAGGTGGGCGTGGGGGATTGGGAAGGGGGGGTTGGGTGGGGATTGATTGATTGATTGACTGATTGATTGGGGCGATTTTGCGGATTTTGTTTGGCCTGGGGGGAAGGGGATGGGGGGGGACTGACTACTTCTACGATGGAGGGGAGGGGGATGGATGGATGATATAGAGAGAAAGAATCGTGAATAATGGCTTTAGCTGGTCGGGCGGGTAGGCGAGGGATGAGAGGGGAGGAGAGGGGAGGGGGGTGTTGTGCTACTACTATCTCAAGTTTCACTTCGTTGTCTTGTCTTTTTTGCCACTATGTTGTATGTCGTATGTGTTTGTGGTTTTTTGGTGTGAGGCGTATAGCATTTTACCATCCATCCATTCATCCATTCATCCATTTAATGGGGCGTACGTACGTGGGTTTTTTGCTGGTTTTGCTTGGTTCATCCGTCAACATCGGCGGTGAAATGGGCTTTTGGGCATCGTGAGAGAGAGCTTCTAGTCTACTCTACTGGGGCTGCTTTGTAGTGTAATATAGGACTTTGGAGGGGGGAGAATGGAGGTGTGTTGCCCTTTCGATGCTGGTTTCGACGTGACTAATGTCTACTGGACTTTATGTTATGCGTGTAGATGGGTGATATGTATGTTATAACCGCGTCTTTCTTGTACAAACTTCCTCTCGGTATATAATCAATCCCCCCCCTCTCCCCCCTTCCAAACCAGCTCAGCATATACACCCCCCAACCCACTCAAGCAGGCACTCAACTCACCCCATATGTCAGGATGAAAAAAAGATGGGGGGAGATGGCATTTCTACACCTTATTCACCACAACTAGCCGGCTTATATACAAAACCACCGCCGCTACAATCTATGTCGTAGGTACACCACATCTCTTCTACCCATCCATCCATCCATCCATCCAACTACCATGCATTCATCCACCATTCTTTCCAACTCTCCCCCTCCTCTCCTCTCCTCTCATACTCTCCTTTCTCTCTAGGCAGGGCGGTCCACACATACAAACACGAACACACACAAAAAAAGGAACACCCAAAAACTCCCAACAAATCCCACCCACCCACCAATCAATCAACCCATTACACCCCTCCCGCTGGATACCCAAACACCAAATCTGCATATATACTCCCCCCTCATCTCAAAAAAATCACCACGTCCCCCCCTCCCCCTCCTCTTCCTCAGCAACAGCACCAGACCGTCGCCGCTGTCCCCATCGCCCAAACAACCGTCCCAACACGCCCCTCCCACCCGTCGAGCGCGGTGCATCCCGCGGCACGAAACCCCTAAACCCAGTAGAGCGTCTCCTCCTCCGCTGACGCGCCGCCGTTTCGTCGCCGCCGCCCTCCGCAGTCCCGTAATCGAGACTATGCCGCGGCGTGTCCCGGTCCTGGAGTTCTTCCCATATCGCTGCTGTTTCGGCGGTGCGGGCGGTGAGGGTGTGGGAGAGGAGGGTGTCGAGTTTTGCGGTTGTTGGGGAGGGGGAGTCCCGGGGGAGGGGGGAGGAAGGGGTGTGGGTGTGGTTAAGATTGTGGTTGTGGTTTGGGAGGAGGGCGGTTTCTTCGTCGGGGGTGCGGGGGGTGGGGAGGGGGGAGTCGGTGTCTTCGTCGTCTATTAGGCCCAGACCCGGTGTCAAGGCTGAGGGGGGAGGTGGGGGGGATTGTTCGTCTGAGAGGCGCCAGGATAGGGCGAGGACGCCGGAGAGGAGGATGAGTGTCCCCAATGCGATGAGCGAGGCAGCGAGTGGCGTGAGGAGGGAGGTTTGGTGGAAGTAGATCAGCCCATCTAGGATAGCGATGATATTATATATGCAAAACACGAGCGGGTAAAGCACGGAAGTCGAGACAAGCTTGAGGCCGTGGTGGAGGTAGTATAGCTGTACTAACGCAAGGGTAACGAGGGTGGCGAGGATGAGCGAGCTTTGGTAGCGGTCGAATTGGTTCTTGTGGTCGATTATAGTCCGCACCAGCAGCTCGACGGAGATCTTAGCGAAGAGGAGGGAGTGCGCTGAGAGGATCCCGGAGATGCAACCAAACGCCAGACCACGCAGGAGACGCACGCGCGGGGAGGAGTAGCGCGCGAGAGAGGCAGCAACGGCTGTTATGGTGGCCACCAACGCCGCCTGTCCCAGCATCCACAGTATGAACGGCGTGCGATTCAGCAGCGCAAGGAGCTGATCCAGATTATGCGCCGGCTCAGGAATCGCCCCAAAGATAGCAATCAGCACCGCCCCCGCGCACACTAGCAGTGTTCCCCCAAGCGACCAGCGCGTGAACGGCTCGCCGAGGATGAGGGTCGCGCAGATGGAGTTGAAGACCAGCCCGGAAGCCTGGAGGGTGGAGAGGACGGGGAGGGGGAGGGTGGTGATCTGGATTGTGCTGCCGAGGAGGTTGGAGATGATGAACATGCCCATGCCGAGCTGCCAGCGGCGGCGGCGGTGGGGGGGGCGGCGGGTGAGGTGGGGGGCTTTTTCATCTTCGAGGAGGTGCGATTTGCGTTGGAGGGTTAGGCCGAGGCTTTGGACGCTGGTGGAGATGAGGCCGACGAGTATGCCGATCTGGATGGGGGGGGGAGAAGTCAGTGGGTGTGTTTGGGGAGGGGGGAGAGGGAGGGCGAGGGGCGAGGGTGTGTTTGTTTTGTTGCCTCGGACGAGGAGGAGGAAGGCGAAGACTTACAGCTATACTGCCTTTTGGCGACAGATCCCCGAGCTGGCCCACCATCACTCAGCGGTAGAGGTTCGTATTCATTTGCGTAGCTATGTTGTTTGTTTCCTGGTGGTCTTGCGGTCTTTGAGCTCGTCCTGGAGGTGGTGGTGAGGGAGTGGTGAGAATGGGTGGTGGGAATGATGCGGTTTCTAAGGAACGTGGTGGTCAGGTCCGGCAGGCCAAGGCGGTGTCACTCGGATGGTTCGTTCTGAGACCACGCCGTTTTGTATGGGTGTGGTACGGCCGCGAGTCTATTTTGGAATTCCAAGCGGCCATGCGCCAGCAGCGGATACTGAGGGTACAGGACTACAATAATTGTTTGAACTGCCAAAATGGGCAGGTTACACTCTTCTTCTTAAGTAGTTTAATGAGAAGAAAATCGCCTCCCGTGACAATTCTCCCACTTGACGAGATCATTCACCATCCGTTTCAATGGGGTTGTCACCTGACTTTGGCGGCCTTGGGTGTCACCTTGAGACGCATATCGGTTGGCGCTTGGTGCTTATCGGAACGGGAGCTTAATCTGTCCAGGATCCAGCTTGAGCACCACACCTCAACCACATCTCGTACCTACCACACGCATCTTGGCTACGGCACCAGCACTTTCTACAACACCACAGCCTCGACGTGCCAGGACCCTGTCTCATTGCCCAAGATGTCGCACTCACAAGCATTGTCTGACGACCAGGTACGCCTTCCCCCCTCCCCCAACAATGCAGCACAGCACACATCTAACCCCGACCTAGGTGGGTCAAGAGCTGAGGAAGATGACCGCCTTCATCAAGCAAGAAGCCGACGAGAAGGCCCACGAGATCGAGATGAAGGCCGACCAAGAGTTCGCCATGGAGAAAGCCAAGCTCGTCCGTGAGGAGCAAAGCGCAATCGACACCCAGTACGAGAAGAAGTCCAAAGCAGCCGCAATGTCGCAGCAGATCACCGCCTCGACAGTCTCCAACAAGACGCGGCTGCGCGTGCTGAGCGCGCGCCAGGAGCTGCTCGATGGGATCTTTGAGGCGGCGGCGAAGAAGCTGCCGGAGGTGACGAAGGATAAGGCTCGCTATGAGACGATCCTTAAGAACCTGGTGCTGGAGGGCTTGTATGCGTTGAATGAGAGTAAGGTGGTGGTGCGGACGAGGAAGGCGGATGTGGCGGTTGCGAAGAAGGCGGTGGAGGCGGCTGAGAAGGAGTATACGAAGAATACGAACAAGGAGATCGCGGCGAGCGTGGATGAGGATAACTTGCTCGAGGACGATTTGTGAGTTTTTTACGCTCCCTGTTACTTGCTTGTGCGAAGGCAGCTTTACTAATGGGGATCAGGGCGGGTGGTGTCTCGATTGTGGGAAGTGGTGGTAAGATCGATATCAACAATACCCTGGATGAGCGCCTAAGGCTGCTCCAAGATAACGCCTTACCCGCCATCCGAACGACGCTGTTCGGGGCGAACGAGAACAGGAAGTTCTACGACTAAGCGGTCTTGTGATTTCAGTGGCTGCTGCTTGCCGAGAGTGATGTAGGGGTCTTATAGATGGACAGCGTGTGGGGATGCTGCTTTTTTGGGGAGCATGTGACGTAGATTGGAGAGCCTGGAATTGTATGATATATATTTACACTGCAGAGCGACCATGGAGCGTGTTGAAAGCTGAGAGAAATTTTGAGCTCTAAATTTATACTCTGTGCTACATTATCATTTGATCTATTTGAACTCCGGCCTTTGACCCAAGGCTTTAATATCATCCAGCCATTATGCATTAGTTATTGGTTTCCTAAAGTGCTTCGTCATAAAAGCCGACTGCTTCAGCGCGCCCTCCCTGTCTCCTCCTTGTCCCGGCAGGTCAAATATACTCTGCTTGGGCTTCAAACGTGTCCGAATCGTCTCTAGCAATCGGTTCCGTAACTTTTCCACCGTCCGCTTTGTGTGGATACGTGATGGAGACAAAGTCCCGCGGTCGTTAATGCTACTCCATATGATCTTAAGCTGGTATGCGAGCTCATCGAGGCAGGAATTATATTCCTCCTCAGCTTGCGGATCGCTCACGTCAAAATCCACCGCCGACCCGTCGCCGATGGCAATATCCAGGAGGGATATCAACGCTGCGAGCTGTACATAGTCTGTCTCTCTGTTGATTTGAAACCTGGGGCTGCCTAGCACCTGCACAAGCTTTCGCAGCTCGAGTTTTTCTTCCACGGGCTTTTGGGTCAGATCACAGTCCTGGCAGAACACGGCGAGGGAGAGTCTTCTCCGCAGGTCGTGTAGGCAAGGGTTGGAGGCTGGAATGCACTCAATAATTTGCAGGCAGAGTGGCTCCTGAGCTACAGTGTTATATATATTAGAGCATATTTTCCGGCACTATCAAGTTCAGTTAGTAGATGAGTGTTGGGGGTAAGTCAAGCACATACTGAAATCTTCCAGGCATCATGTTTTGCGATGGCATCACAGAGCTCTCCCATAGCGGAACGCACGATACATAAAACCGAGTAGTTTTCCTTCACAAGGTTATCCGCGCAAAGCCTTGCTAGCAGAGACATCGTATAAGCACATGTAACTGGAGTTGCAAACTTCGCTGCATCACCGAGGAATTTTATATAGCGCTGTAGAGTATTCCATTCGCGCCCCTTGTACGCCTTTTTATAAACACCGACAGCTTCGACATTGGCCTTCCGATCGGTTGCCTGGGGAAGCGCACCTAATAGATCAAACATTCCTTTAACAGTTTTTGGACGAAGATATTTGCGTATCGCTTCAGGGGCGGCAAGAAGGGCGTTGAAGTATGACTCTTCGAGGTCTGTAGCTGGCTCTATGCACGACGTTTCTAAAATCCACAGGAATTTCTCTTCAGAAAGCTCTTCCTGGGCATGGGCCACATTACTCATAGCGCCAGAAGCAGCCGTCGAGTCTCTGGCTATCTTATCCCCCTGGTTCCATTTCTGATAGATCTTTGAAATATTGGCTGGGGTTTCTGTTGGCTTATTGGTTGGCGTCTTGCTGTCAGGGTCAAAGAAGTACCATCTCTTCTCCGTCGATGTAGCCTCAGTGCGCGCAACGGCTTGCAGGATCTTGTCCGCGCTGTCGGCATCCTTATCTGCAATCATTGATTCCAACAGTGCATCCTTGTCATCTTGTTGCCCTGCCTCTTCCCCGTTCCCTGGCTCGTCTAATATAGTCTTCGCTCTCTGCGCGCTGGCTTCTGTAGCCTCGTGCCTCTGTGACTGGCTGACCAGCGACGTGATGCTGAATTTGTATTTATGTTTTGGTTGGACCGTTAACGGAGAGGCGTACGGTGGTGCCCTGTATTTAGTCGTGGAACCGGTATCTCGTAATTTGCGTGTGCTCCTCGTGGGATTTTGAGAGGTGGTGGGGGGCGTGAAAAGATCTGGCAGATCAGAGTCCGAACCAGAGGAGCCGTCATCTTTAGTGAATGAGTCCCAGGACTTTTGTTGGCCAGTGGTCATTTCGGTTTTGGCAGGGACAGATTGTGCATGAGCAGCCTGGGGTTTGGGCGGCGAGTGTTCATTTTTGCTCTTGGTGGTAGTTGTGGAATAAGTATCAGAGAGGCTGCTTCCGGAGTCCTTTGTCTTTAGCTTGGGCGTTGGTTTGAGGTGCGGTGCTGTCCTGGCTCTAGCCGTGCGAGCCGCAGCTGGTAGCTCCCCGGCGGGTGTGCTTGTTGAAGCCGGCTCGTAAGAGATGATATGGGGCGGCGAAGGCTCCGATGGATCACTGCCTAAATCAGAGAGGTCGCTGTCTTCGTCCGAGTCCTCGATGGTGAGCTGGTTGGTCATCCGGGGTTGACTAGAGAAGGGTTGCGCTTCGGCAGGCTTGGGGTGGGGTAGAGAAAGTCCATTCTCCCTGTCGGCGACGGTTGTGGGAGGGTGAGAGGCGGCGTGGGGCTCCGAAAGCTCTAATATATCACTCCTTGTATCAGAGAGGCCGCTCTCTTCGTCCGAGTCCTCGATGGTGAGCTGGCTGGTCATCTGAGGATCACTAGATAAGGGCTGTGCGTCGGCAGGCTCAGATTGGGATATGGGCTGTTCATTCTCCTTCTTGGTGATGGTGATAGAAGGCTTATCAGAGACATTGGTCGTGGCGTCTTTTGTCTGTGGCTTCGGGGGTACTGGCTTGAAGAACTGGTAAATATTGCCCTTTTGAGGAGGGAACTTGTCTTTTTTTGGCGGCATGTTCGAACACAGCCGTCTGGCTCTACGCTACGTCATGAAAGCATGGCGAGTAAGGTTACAGAATGTATGTGGTGGGGAAGATTGGAAGGAGGGGCAGCAAGGCTCACAAACCAGCAGCCTTCTGTTATCTTAGTGCTTTACGCGGTTTCGCGATAGGGAGACGCGAAGCGCGATGGTTTCCCGTGACCCGGGCGGTCAGCCGCTGAAGTGGGAGAATCATTGCTTTTGAAATACTTTATTCGACTTGCACACCTAACAAATATGCATAAAATGCGTAAAGCCCGAAAGCTGTGCCATTGACTTGTTGTCGGTATTGTTGTTGTCAAGCTCCAGTGTCTGACTGCAGTCGTAGGCGGCGTTGTGGCTTCCTCTCAGCCACAGTAGTAATTTGACTCGTATGGCTAGTACTGTTGTTCACGAGATTGTTCAGGACAGTGTGGAGGCTGTTCTAAACTCACAGCAGAGAGGGTTCGTGTCATACCGACCAGTGCAGGCGTCTAGTGGGTATATTCTTAGATTATCATATGCAAATCGCTGATCATCCTGCTCAGCATTTTCTGTTCCTATAACCCGGCTGCACTTAAAGGCTGGGCATTCACCGACACCGAGACATGATTTGCGGCGCAGCAACAGAACGAGATGAGGCGTACGTAAGCATACAGAGAAATAGAAGGAAAGAAGAACACACATGTACGACGAATGAGACGAACAAACGAACAATCATAAGATATTACGGAGTTTAGCTGTCGTTGGTCCGCGATGGATGACTAAGCGTACCCGTATACGTATATTGGACTAGATACGGACTAAAGTTCGTAGATAGGGAGGGAGTTAAGGCCACCAAGGTGTCGAAGAGGGGGGTTTATCCAATCTACCCGAAATTATACTACATTTGCATATTATTAAACGCCAACTTCGTGTTTGGGGGTCATCAAATTTCCCCTTAACTCCATATATTGCCAAGTCCCTGGGCTTACAGAGTAAATGTTGTACTTTTGTAGAGCTGATACGGGTTTCGGATGTTTCTTTCTGCTCCATGATCTCCGATACTCCAAGGGGCTAAACTTCTCTACTTCAACTTTACTATGGAGACATGGGGAGAGTAGTGGGTACAATTGTGCCACTGTGTTGGAAGATCTTTGAGAATATATGATTTGAAACATTACTCTCATGCACTGGCTAATTGAATGGATAGGGGCAAAAGTCAATGAGCCATAGTAGGTTGTTGGTCGTACCATATATATAGATTGTAACTGTATAATTACTGTATAATTACACTGTAACTTACTGGATATACCGCCCTGTATCCAATACGTACGTACTTGGGATAAAGAATGTCAGCAAATGGCCCAGCCTGAGAGTCTTGAGTTAACTCGTTCATAGTGCTTACACATCTCGTACCTGTAGTCCAGTACCAGTACTTAAGCTCAGTCGTTCGACTCGAAAGGAGACTTTGCACAATATGTCATTATAGGCGTTGATTGGTGTTAACTTTTTGACTTTTCTGAACTTTTGCTGATGTTCCTCGCCGAGTTTACTACGTAGGATTTCCCCCCTACCAATCTATACATGTACATCTACATCGGGAAAAATCCAGCCTTCCCGAAGTAACTAAAGCAGTTGTCTGGCCTTTGGCGCCCCTCCGTATTGGTGCAAATAACGGTTCATAGCATCATCATCATCAACTTCTTTGTGACATATTGCCACGCAAAAACATCTCTGTCTCGGTCCCGAACGAATTTTGATTTTTGTTACCGCTTTGCCGCCCTCTAGTGCATTGCATTACTCTTGCCCCGCCGCGGACGCTGCTGCCACCTCGCCGCTTCTGCCGGTATTAGCGATACGTAGGATAAAACAAATAACCTCCACCCCAACCCCGGGTTTTAGCAATTGCGACCTACCCCCTCCTTGTCAACACACGATACAGATTAATGATCGCTATACCCGTCACTATCGAATTCAACGAAGGCGCATAATTCTCGACAGCGCTGGCGGACGCTCGACAGAAGCCGGGCAGTAGCCCAATCAATACCTCCTCGCCATGGCCGACCAGCCTCGCCCTGAGGACCACGAGGATCCCGAGGATGGCACAACGCCAGCACCTACAAAACGCACCAGATGGGCCACACGAAAGCTGAAGGGGAGGCAGGGTAGCCGCAAGAGGGTTTCGATCCTTGAGCGCCTGCAGAAGGGTCAGAATGAGAAGAAGCGCGATTCCAGTGGGGCTGAGAGCACCACCAACCCCAGCGTCATGAACACCGTCGTAGAAGAGGGGGAGGAAGAGGAAGAGGTGGAAGCGACTGAGGAGAGTCAAGACGGACCTGGCCCTCGCTCTGTGTTCGTCAACATGACACTACCAGCCAATGCTGTCGATGCCCATGGCCATCCGACAGCACGTTATGAGAGGAATAAGATTCGGACGGCGAAGTACACACCATTGAGTTTCATTCCGAAGAACTTGTGGCACCAGTTCCACAACATTGCGAACATATATTTCCTTTTCCTCGTTATCCTTTCCGTAAGTATCACCAGCCACCCCAATCAATCTCACTCGCTGATTCTGTGCGACAGATCTTCAGCATTTTTGGTGCTGTTAACCCGGGACTCAACGCTGTACCTCTGATTGTCGTCGTTGTCATTACAGCTGTGAAGGATGCCGTCGAAGATTGGCGACGAACTGTTCTCGATAATGAACTCAACAATTCCACGGTCCACCGCCTCGTGCAATGGACGAATGTCAACATCAGCTCGGGTGACGTCTCATTATGGCGAAGGATAAAGAAAGCCACAACAAAAGGCATCAAGATAATATACTTGGCGATAAAGGCCCTCTTCAAGCTCAACTCGGGAAAGAAGGGGAAATCATATGGAGAGCGCGCAATGGACACCCAGCGTGCCTCATACGAAACCACTGCGACCAGACGCCAATCAGCATACTCCCAGCGCACTTCGTTTGCATCTGCAAGGGAGGATATTCAAATGACCCCTGTTCCGTCTCCAAACCCTCGCCATGATACCAGCGAGTCCTCAAACCCGTTCGACTCTGCAGCCGACTTCGAAGCAGACAATTCTAGGGTTATCAGCCATTACCAAGGCGACGTTGTAAACCGCCGCCTCCCTGTATCTAAAAAGGCGAGGTTCCATCAGGATTATTGGAAGAACGTTCAAGTTGGAGATTTCCTACGAATTTATAGTGACGACCAGATCCCAGCCGATGTTGTAATTTTGGCGACATCAGATCCGGACGGGGCCTGCTACGTCGAAACAAAGAATCTGGATGGCGAAACTAATCTTAAGCTTCGGCATGCATTGCAGTGCGGACAGTCGCTCAAACATGCGAGGGACTGTGAACAGGCCCAGTTTGTTATCGAAAGTGAACCTCCGCAACCAAACTTGTACCAATATAGTGCTGTCGCCCGTTGGACACAGGAGGATAAGAGCAACCCTAACGGACCAGGCCAACCTATGGCAGAACCGATCTCCATTAACAACATGCTCCTACGAGGCTGCAATCTACGGAATACTGAGTGGGCCCTTTGTGTGGTCATGTTCACCGGATTCGATTCTAAGATTATGCTCAACTCAGGAATGACGCCTACCAAGCGCTCAAGAATTGCACGAGAACTCAACTGGAACGTTGTGTACAACTTCATTATTCTCTTCTTTATGTGCTTCATTTCTGGTCTCTTCGAGGGCCTTGCTTGGGGTAGAAATGATAAGTCGCTGCATTATTTCGACTATCCAGATACAGCAGCCCCTGTCTCCGGGCTCATTACGTTTTGGGCTGCTGTCATTTTACTTCAGAACTTGGTCCCCATCGCTCTCTTTATCACTTTGGAAATTATCAAAACGCTCCAGGCGGTCTTTATCTACAGCGATATACACATGTACTACGATAAGCTCGACTACCCATGCACCCCAAAGTCGTGGAATATTTCGGATGATGTCGGTCAGATTGAATACATTTTCTCCGACAAGACTGGGACATTGACGCAGAATGTTATGGAATTCAAGAAGGCTACTGTCAATGGAATTCCGTACGGAGAAGCTTACACCGAAGCCCAAGCTGGCATGCAGCGTCGTCAAGGCATTGACGTCGTGAAGGAGGCAGCTAAAGCGCAGGTGCAGATTGCCGAAGCACGCGTGAAAATGATCGCAGAGACGCGCAAGCTTCACAATAACCCTTATCTTCACGATGATGATCTAACCTTTGTCGCCCCCGACTACATCGCTGATCTTGGCGGTGAGTCAGGAGAAGAGCAAAAACAAGCGACCCGACAGTTTATGCTGGCGCTTTCCCTATGCCACAGTGTCATCGCCGAAATTACACCAGGAGATCCACCCAAAATGGAGTTCAAGGCCCAGTCTCCAGATGAGGCGGCCCTAGTTGCTACAGCAAGGGATGTCGGCTTCACAGTCGTTGGGAACTCACATCACGGAATAAAAGTCAACGTTCTTGGCGACGAACAGGAGTATACTGTCTTGAATACGCTAGAATTCAACTCAACGCGCAAGCGCATGAGTGCTATTATCCGGATGCCAGATGGGAAGATCATGCTGTTCTGCAAGGGTGCAGATAGTACCATTTATGCTCGCTTGAAGACTGGCGAACAGAAGGAGCTTCGTCAATCAACGGCGGAACATTTGGAAATGTTCGCTAGGGAAGGTCTAAGAACACTATGCATTGCGCAAAGAACTCTGGGCGAAGAAGAATATCAAATATGGAATAAGGAGCATGAGCTGGCCGCAGCTGCCATTAATGACCGAGAGGAGAAGTTAGAACGCGTGTCCGAGATGATCGAACAGGAACTTACTCTACTCGGAGGAACCGCCATCGAGGATCGTTTGCAAGAAGGCGTCCCAGATACCATTGCTCTGCTTGCTGAGGCTGGTATCAAGTTGTGGGTTCTGACTGGCGATAAGGTTGAGACGGCCATCAACATTGGCTTTTCCTGCAATTTATTGAACAACGACATGGAATTAATTATCTTCAAAATTGAGGATGACAGTCTAAGTACTGCTGAGGAACAGCTCGACCAGCATCTTCAGACTTTTAACATGACTGGATCGGATGAGGAGCTTCAAGCAGCAATGAAGAACCACGAGGCTCCTGCGCCCACTCACGCTATCGTCATCGATGGAGACTCATTGAAGCTTGTCCTTGACGAAACCCTACGACAGAAGTTCCTCCTGCTTTGCAAACAGTGCAAATCGGTTCTTTGCTGTCGTGTCAGCCCTGCACAAAAGGCCGCGGTCGTGAAGATGGTGAAGACTGGACTTGATGTCATGACACTGTCTGTTGGAGATGGTGCCAACGATGTTGCCATGATTCAAGAGGCTGACGTCGGAGTTGGAATTGCTGGAGAGGAAGGAAGACAGGCCGTCATGTCGTCTGATTATGCCATTGGCCAGTTCCGCTTCCTTCAACGTCTTATCCTGGTGCACGGCCGTTGGTCGTACCGCCGTGTGGGAGATACCATTGCGAATTTCTTCTACAAGAATTTAGTGTGGACCGCCGCCCTCTTTTGGTATCAGATTTATGCGGATTTCGACCAGGCGTACCTATACGATTACACCTTCATCTTGCTCTACAATCTGGCTTTCAGCTCTCTGCCGGTTATATTCATGGGTGTGCTGGATCAGGATGTTAGCGACAAGATCTCACTAGCTGTTCCCCAGCTTTACCGCCGCGGTATCGAGCGGAAGGAGTGGACGCAGAGGAAGTTCTGGTAAGTTACACTGATCTACTTTTAAATAAAAAAAAACTTATGGACTAACATATTTACAGGCTATACATGCTTGATGGAACCTATCAATCAGTGATTTGCTTCTTCGTCGTATACCTCCTTTTCGCTCCTGGCACCTTCGTTACATCAGGCGGACAGGACGTCGGAGATCGCAACAGAGTCGGCGTTTACGTTTCATGCGGAGCCGTTATCGTCGTCAACTTTTATATCCTCCTCAACTGTTACAGGTGGGATTGGCTGATGGTCCTTTTGGTGGCCATCAGTTGCCTGCTCGTATTCTTCTGGGTCGGCGTATGGGGTTCATCGGTCAGCACGGCGGTATTTTTCTACCAGGCAGCTGCTCAGGTTTTCGCCCAACCATCTTTCTGGGCCGTTACGTTCCTTATGGTGATCATCTGTCTGCTACCTCGCTTTACCGTCAAGTTTGTTCAGAAGGTCTACTTCCCTTACGATGTCGATATTATCCGCGAACAAGTCAGGCAAGGAAAGTTCGACTATCTCGACGATGAATCATCATCATCATCATCGCGTCCGCCAAAGACAGTAGACTCATCTGCAACCTCGTCAGACCTGGTAGAGCCACTTAAGCAACCTTCGTATTTCGACGATGACCGACGCCCACTCAAAGCACCATCAATGGCTCCAACTACCACAACCCACAACCCTCGGAGTCAAAATAACAGCGACGGGACAGATTACACCAGGCACCGGATATCCCTGGAGCCGCCGATGGAAAACCCCAACCATCGGCGATTATCTAGCGATAGGCCCAGGCCATCCTTCGACCGCATGCGCGCCTCAATGGACCGCTGCCGCCCCAGCTTCGAAGCCAGCCGCGACTTCACCACCGCAGCCAGGTTGACCCAAGTCGAGTCCAGCCACTCATTCGGTCCCATTCGCAGCAAAATGAGCCGCTTCTCCGACGAGTAGCCGTGAAGGCAGCCTCGGGTTTTACGATTCTAGCCGTCCCCGACATGGTGTTTGTACATTAATGCCTCCAAGTTTTTCTTTTTCTTTTCCTTTGTGCTCTTTTTTGTTTGTGCGGCCATCCTGGGCCGGGGATATCCAAGCATTCACGATTTGGATGAGCAATCTACTCTGCGCTGTTCTTGCGGCATTCAGTTTGGCGCATGTCGGCGTTGCATCAGTGGTCATGATTTATGGTTCCTTTTTTATTCTCTGGGAATGAGGGGGCTGCGCTGCACAGGCAGCGGCCCTGGAAAGGTGGTGGTGTTGTATAAAGAGTGTGGGGGATTTTGCCTGCGCTTGAAGGGATGGGACTTTGGACTTTGCCTGGGCTTGGCTTGGGGAAAGGGTTGTTTCTCTTTTTTGAAAAAACGCATAGAGAGTGTAATTTGTCCTTTGTAGATACAAGTGCGAACATGAACAGTACAATACGGTTTGAATTATTTCTTGAGATCCATACGTGAATTCATTCTAGTGTCAACCCCATGCCCTGTAGTACTGTAGTATATCCCCCTCGAACTCAGTGTAAAATCACCATCCAACCAAGCGCGGCTTATTTGAAGTCTGATATCATGATGTTGTACATCTCTTTTGTATTTAGTATTAAAATGTCCCTGGACCCGGTATTGTCTATTTGAACCCTGATATCAATTCCACGTCTTCCGTACAGTATATCTCCCTGGAATCCAGAGACCCTTCAATCTACCGTTCCCAGCGGCCACATAAAACAATCGGACCCGGAAGTAACCACCTTCACAAAGAACAATCGAGCCCAGGAATTATAACAGAACAAAGACCTTAAACGTTCTAATATCTCGGTCCCAGTTGGCTCTTCACCGAAGCCTCTCATATAATATCATCCCGTGACTTCTACCACGCCAAGCACTGGTTCGTGTCAGGGCTTATCTTATCGGCGAACTTTATCGCGACCTCTCCAAATTCCTCGGCGGCCAACTTCGCTGGTCGCGTCAACCTCAGCTCCAAATATATACCCCGTTTCGAAATCTTCAGATTCACAGGGATCCGCCCACCACCGGCGGACCTGCTTAAGATTTCTTTTCTGGGATAATTCCTTTGCTCTTCCACTTCCACTTCCACTTCACGATTCTACTTTGCAGTCTCTTGTGTTTAGCCATTTTCGCCCAATCCAGCTCCACCCACTGCAAGGCCCGGCCGAGTCTTGCTTCCTGCATTTCACAACCACAGCCTTCTCCCGAGCAAACGAACTTAATTGCTATAATCCACTTCATCATCATCTCAGTTGCTATTGCCCCGTTCAAGCTCTTTACTATGATTATTTGAGCAATGATAGTGCTCGAAGTGCCATTCTATCCTTGTTATACCCCAATTCTGCACCTGGCGCCCGTCGCTGGGTTCAGACGTAGGCCTCACCATGGAGGGAATATATGAAGAGCTTCAGGAGCTGCAGGGGTAATTTATTTCGGTTTCACTAGCAGACGTTGAGCAGTTCACTGACATGAAAGTAGGAAGATGGATGAGTTCCCCCCCGAAGCACATTGGTTTTGCCCGAAACTCAACGACGAGGACTATACAAACTACGGCGATCCAGGCAACGATGAGGAAGATGCGTCGTCCGCTACAAAGATCAAGTGCATCGAAGACGGAGAGAAGCGACTGAAAATTACATACCGCTTTTCTATAAAACTCGGGTTTTCTCCCGAACAGGCTGAGGAGGCAGGTTTCGGGGACGCATTCGAGCGTCGTGCAACAGAGCTCTTATCCACCTGCGACCAATGTGTCCGAAACTATCATACCGCGAGGAAGGAATTCTTGGGATACATGTCTGAGGAATTTGCAGAGGAAGTTATGGAGCAGTTGTCTGAGGTTATTAACCAGTTTGACCACTCCCGAATCGACAAAGGCCTTGACAAAGCGGCTGCTCTTTTGAACTCGCTTCCTGTCGCTCAACGTACTATGCGATCACTGGCCACTGATCAGGTTGGTCTTACGGCGCTATATGAGGCGTTATGCTGCCCGTCATATCACAAGTTAATGGAGAAGCTTTTAACTCCGCTCGGCGATGTCCTCCGGCTGGTCCAGACAACGAAAGTGCTTAGGATCAGCGGCATTGTCCCCGCGACCACCCGCTTCCTTTTCGATGCCGACGAACATCGCCGTCAATTTGCCAGCTTGGGCTGGAGGAAAGCACCTCAGGATCTCGACAGGAAAACCTTTGAGTGGGCTGTTCAAGACGCTCTGGTGGAGCAAATTCAGTTCATTTCCGGCCCAGGCCGCTCATTGATAGAAATCCAGCGGTTTTGGGAAGGGCTTGTTCTCATCATCAACAAGCTGGACAGCGACCTTATCACTCATTCCCTGCGCGGGTTGGAGGTATCTCCCGATGTCTACCATCTGGCGTTAGCACACCTCCCCTGTGACTCTGAGGATATTCTATCCAACATTATCCACGCACTCATAATGCTTCTTGGGAAATCCTCGAAGTCCTTCTGGTCGGCATACGGGACTATTTCTTCAACGACCGTTGCAGAACAAGTCTTCAATTCCCCAGCATTCGAACGCCTTCTCTCTGGATCCCACATCAATGACCAAGGTCATGATAAGTATGCCTACGGCGCAACGTCCTGGATTACTCCTTTTGTGGAATCTCTACCAGCCGCGCAGCAATATGATGCGTGCCACAGCATGCTTGTCAGCCTCCTGGGTCGCTATCAAAAGGATCACATCCCAGATTCATCCAAGCTCGTGTGTTGTCGGGCTGGATTGGCAACGATGAATATCGTGTTGACCACATTTACCTCAAAGGAATACACCATCAACACGTCGACGTCATTTATAATGATCAACAATGTCTTAGGACTAGTTGATAAGTTCAAAGACATGATTGTCAACTGTGCCACAGTCGCCGAAGGCACAGAAGGGCACACAGAATTGTCAGAAGCCGGCCTGCAAGTCATTCGATTGGCGCTGTTGCTTGATTGCAGATCTCTCAATGCGGAGTTCCTCGCTTTGGAAAATGGCAAGCCCGTGGACCATGGTTTGAACAGCCACTCGGAGTCGATTTGGAAATCTGTCCTTGACTCATTCCGAGTTAATGATATGAAGATGGCCGATAGCATATTGCGAGGAATCACCCCTTTGATTGGCCTTGAGAAGTTTATGCTGAAGGGCCAACCAGAGGGATTACACAGAGACATGAACCGTTTCAACAGCGCCTTCGGCCAGCTAACAGAGATTGTTGCAAGTGTTTTTGAGCGCATTAGTGACTTTAGTCTCGAAAACCTTCGGCGCCTCTGTGGCAGTATACCAACGGCCAATCCACTGTTTGCCGGCCTCACCTCAGCACATGCACCTACTTACGATGCGGCGGTTGCGTTAATCAAAGCTGTCACTGAGACAGATACCCGAAAGGAGGCTATTTCTGTCCTTCTTGAAAAGTTTATGGACACGCCATTGATGGCGCTGGCATCTGCCGCGAGGAAGATCAATGAGTTCCGAACCTTTGCGGCTGTCCCAAATGTTCTCAAGACGGGACGCGATGTTTTGGGTGGGCTTTGCAACCCTCAAAGCGGTCTCTTGCGCAGCAAATCCTCATTCTCTCTAAAGGAACAAATATCTCTTAGAACCTGGTGGACGGAGCAGTGGCAAGCCATTGTAACGTCGTTTCAGACGGTTGAACAATGGAGCAAATATTATGACACCGATATCTTGGTCAATTTCTGCCGCGACGCTATGGAATATGCAGAAGCTCTCTTCGAAGAATACAACATCGTGGCAAATGTTCTCAGCAACGGCTCTGGAGATACCACGCCAGCTTCAAAAGAAGTCATGTCTCTGGCCACTGCAAGAAAAGTCGTTTTAAAGCAACCTTGTGAGGCAACTACAAGTCTCGTTAAATGGCTTCGGCTGAAGGATCAATATCTTGTCTCTACTGTGGTCAGCCTTATCAGCAAGATCCTTCGTCGTCTCGGAGAATTCGATATGGAGGTTGATGATAGGTCTCTGGAATATATCGACAGGGTGACATTTGACAGAATCAAGACAGTCTTGACTCCACAGCAGAAAGCTGAGCTACGTAAAGCCAAGGAAGAGCATAGTGGCGTCAAATATATCGAGCAGAAGCCCTCCGTTTCCAAGACGCAGGGAAAGATTGATGCCTGGTCGAAATCCGCAAATGGCGTCAAATATGAACCTTCCTCAACGGGGAAACCACTCAGAGGCCAGCAAGGTGTCATCGATGTTGAGCAATGGAAGAGCAAGTCAGGCCTTCCAGACAATTCCATATCAGAAGATGTGCGTTCTTTATCTCGCACGCTGGATCAAGGCAAGGGGACATTGGAGCAAATACGAGCGCGCCAGCAAGCCAAACAAATTGCGGCAGTGAAACCGGTCCCCATGAAACCTAGCATTGTCATCAGGTCTAACGAGAGCATCAAGCAGTCACGACAAAGAGAAAAGGATGAGAAGAAGCTGCGTGACGCGGCAATTATTGCCAAGGCGAAGGCATTAAGGACACCCACTGTTCTAGGGGAAGGCTCCGGACTCAAAAACCTCGGTATCATTGGGAAAGACCATGCGCCCGAGAAGGGAGAGATGATGGTATCCTCAAGTGAAGAATCAGAGGAAGAAGAAGAAGAAGGCGGGAGGACCTTGCTCAAGAAGACGAGAGATGCCTCCAAGAAATCCAGCGATTTGGAGGCAGAGCGACGACGGGCATTGATGAGGAAACAGCAGGAGCCTGTCAAGAAAATGAAAATTAAGCGGACTGAGAAGGATATGCGCGCTCGATTGACGCCAGATATGACTGATCTCCATCTCGACATTCTTAGATGGGACATATTCTGGGACGGCGATGGACCTCCAAATGGTACTGGTTGCGTGAGAATAGCCAACACCTACCAAACTCCGGATAGTTACCGAGGGGTGTTTTATCCGCTCTTAATAGCGGAAGCCTGGCGATCACTGAAAACTGATCGTGATGAAACCAATTCCCAAGCTTTTGACATTGCTGTCGTTACCAGAATGTCAGTGGATAGATTCTACGAAGTCAGTACTACGATGACAATGGCCGACCACCGCGAGGCGAAGATTAGGGAGGGTGACATCGTTTTGCTCTCCAGAGCCAAAGAGCCTCTGAAGAACAAGGAGGCGCCCCATTGCCTGGCCAGGGTATATCGTACCAACCGCAAGAGGGACGTGGTGGAGGTATCCTACCGCCTCAATGGCATAGCCGTCAATAAGCCTGGAGGGCTTGCACTTGCACCCAACACCCAAATCCGCGGGGTGAAGATTACAAGCATAACGTCAATCGAGAGAGAGTACGCCGCTCTGAAGAGCATGGAATACTATGATCTGTGCAACGAAATCCTACAAGCCGAACCATCTCCGCTGATCAACTACCCCGATGCTGCTCTGTCTCCGGTTCAACAGCATTACGGAGTCAATAGAGCTCAGGCGAAGGCCATTTGGTCCGCTACGGAAAACGACGCATTTACACTGATTCAGGGTCCCCCTGGCTCGGGCAAAACGAAAACCATCGTTGCGATGGTAGGCGCCATACTGTCGCCAACCTTGGGCATTGGACCAGGAGTCTCAATCGCACGGCCCTCAGGTGTGCCAGATCCGAAAAAGGATACGATTGCGAAGAAACTATTAGTCTGCGCGCCAAGTAACGCAGCCGTGGACGAGCTAGTTTCTAGGTTGAAGGAAGGCGTGACAGATATGAAAGGCAACCATCACAAGATCAACGTCCTCCGACTTGGACGAAGTGATGCCATCAACTCAAATGTGAGAGACGTGACTCTTGAAGCCCTGACGGATGCCAGAATCGAAAAGGACAATGCAAACGGCAGTGCGGTCGTTCCGGAGCGTCAGAAATTACATCAAGAAGCCGGGCGAATTAAGGAGGAACTTGCCGCCCTCAGGTCCAAACAGGAAGAAGCTCGCACAAAGGGAGAGAAGACGGTGGAACTCAGACTCCAGAGAGATATTGATGGGAAAAAGCGCGACCAGACGAGGATTGGTGCCAAGATCGACGAGGACAAGGATAACGGCAATACGGTTGCTCGAGATAACGAAATTAATCGTCGGCGGATACAGCAAGAGATTCTCAACGGGGCACATGTATTATGCGCGACACTCAGTGGCAGTGGGCATGAGATGTTCAAGAAATTAAGCGTTGAGTTTGAGACAGTCATTATCGACGAAGCCGCTCAATCTATTGAAATGAGTGCCTTGATTCCACTGAAGTACAATTGTACCAAGTGTATATTGGTCGGTGATCCCAAGCAACTCCCCCCCACTGTCCTCTCTACAGTTGCCGCAGAATTTGGTTATGACCAGAGTTTGTTCGAGCGCATGCAAAAGAATCACCCGGACCGGATCCATCTACTGGACACACAGTACCGTATGCATCCGGAGATCAGCTCCTTCCCAAGAGGCGAGTTTTACGACGGAGAACTTGTTGATGGTGCTGGCCTAGACAAGTTAAGACAGAAACCGTGGCACGCAAGCGCCCTGCTTGGCCCTTACCGGTTTTTCGATCTCAAGGGTACCTCGAGTCGCTCGGGGGGCCATTCGATGGTCAATTACGACGAGATCAAGGTTGCCCTGCAGCTATATAAGAGACTTAAGACAGATTATCCTTCTTTCGATATCAAGGGCAAGGTTGGCATTATTACACCATACAAGGGCCAACTTCGCGAGATCCGCTTCGCTTTGCAGCGGGAGTACGGTGACGACATCCTGGATGACATCGATACCAATACGACGGACGCCTTCCAGGGTCGCGAAGCTGAGGTGATCATTTTCTCCTGCGTGCGAACAATGGGTGGTGTTGGTTTCTTGAAAGACGTGAGACGTATGAACGTCGGTTTGACTCGTGCCAAGTCTTCTCTCTGGGTTATTGGAGATTCCAGCACCCTCCAGCGCGATCGAGTCTGGTCGAACATGATTCAAGATGCAAAGAGGCGAGATCGATTTACTTCCGGGGATGTCTTGAGCATGCTGAGAGTGGCATCTGCCAAACAACCCCAGGTCCCCAAGCAGTTAGCCATTGAGGACGTGCAAATGGAAGATGTCGACTCCGGCAAGACCCTTGATGGAAATACAGACAGTCGCCAACCATCACCTCAAGATGTCCCTATGACCGATGCCCCTAATATTGTCGAACGGAAACAAGTCTCGAATGGCAAAGGGGTCAGTAATGCGGCGCCTGTTGGCGAAGGTCCTAGGCTCTATAAACCTGGAGAACCCAGAAATGGGGCCTCAGCAGTGCGTCCAACCGTCAAAGCTGCTCCCAAGGAGAATTTGGTGATTCAGACGAGTCAAACGCCAAAACGTTCAAGAGAACCGTCCCCGACTGGTAGTCCAGGCCCACCAAAGAAGGTAAGCAGATACCACCTTTTTGTTTTCTATTTTGATTGCTAACGACAGTAGGTGCCTACTATATCCAAAGGATTGCCGAGGAGACCAAGTCTAACGCCTATCTTGAATCCTGATAAATATGAGAAAGATGTCCTGAAAGCCAAAGTAGAGCCGAAGTCTGAGGGCGAACCGCGCTCGAAAGTCTCTCCCCCGCCACAGGTAGGAAGACGCAACAGCAATAGTTCATTAGGCGGCGAATCCAATGTACGTATGCAGCTCAAGTCAACTCGCAGGTAACTAACATCATATATAGGGTTCTTCACGTCCAAAGCCACCCTCAGGTCTCCCACCACGACCTAAAATCTTGAAAAGAAGGCCTGCTGCCGACCCATTCCTGCCAGCAAAACCTCGACCACGTTAAACCAATACTGACGGTTGCTCGACATAAACTGGTATTCAAAACATCATTAGGCGTACTAGACATTTTAGCGACCAGCATTCATCGGCGTTCTTCATACATACGACACTACGTTAGGGAGCGTAAATTATAGTTCGGACTCCCGCATCGTTATGGCGAGGGAGTGAAAGGGCCTTCATTTTAATATTGCTGTGAAGGGCAGATTTGCGATTAGTTACTACCTACATGTGTGACACGACCAGTAGCTCGAATTTGGCCAGAGGATTGGAATTGTAGCACATAAGTGTTGCATTCTATATCCGGTAGCCCACGGCATAACCACGACAAAACTATACAATTACCCCTGAACAGATAAACTACGGCTTAACCTCCTCCCCCCTCCAATCCCAGAACTTGCCTCTCCCATTCAAGCCCACGCTACCAGCGACACCAACCAATTTCTCCGCCGCAAGTTCCGGCGAGAACAGTTTGTCTTCCTCCACACGATCCCAATAATCCCTCGATAACTCCGTCTTCACACTACCAGGGTGCTGCGCAATCGAAATCGCATTATCCCCCGACACCCCCTGGAGATACAAATCAAACGACTTCGCCAGACTCGTAACCCCTGCCTTGCTCGCACGATACGAGTACCAACCACCCATAATATTATTAGTCGTACTCCCAACGCTAGCACCCATGGAAGCGTAGACCGCGCGCTCAGGAAGTCCCACCTCTCCCTCGAGGACGGCGTTCTTGCGAGGCAGGAAGTCGCAGAAGTGCTTGAGGATCAGCAGCGGGCCGATGGTGTTGACTTTGAAGCTCTCGAGGGCGTGGTGGGAGTCGATTTGGCCGGGGGATCGCTCGGGGTGCAGGACGCCGGGGATGGCGTAGGCGAGGCGGAGGTGGTGCGTTTCGGGGGGGAACATCTGGCGCGCTTGGTCGGCGGCGGTGGAGATTGTGAATTCGTCTGTGTGGTGGCGGGATACGTTAGAGATGGGCTTCTTGTGAGGGTGGTCGAGGGGATGTCTGGGATGGGGAGGGGGCTGTTACCAACGCAATCGAGCTCCAGTACAGTCAGACGGTCGACATCTACGTTCTTCAGGCCGTCTAGAAGTGAGTTCCGCACATCTTCTGTGTTGCTACGTGAGGTGGCCAGGATGGGAGCCTTCGTAGTCTGCAGGAGGTGCCTTGTGAGCGCGAATCCAATCCCGCGAGAGGCAGGAGAGACGAAACACCATGCCATATTTCTCTGGGGGTTATAAATTGTATAATCTGGCTCTTCAAAATTCGGTCTGGGATAATAGATATCAGGGACTGTGAGGTGTGAAACTATGAAGGGAGGTCTACCCTAGATGGGGGTCTACATGGTGGGCTGAGGTTGGCTTGCTGCTGAACAGCTGATTTCGCACGTCAACGTCAATATGAGAAGTAATGTCGGGTGGTACACATTAGCGTGACCGGAGACCCAACCCACGGTAATCCGATTGCCGCCATCGAGATCTCCCCGCTTCCAAGAAGGCTTAGCGTATGGAGGCAAGCTTAGCGTTAATGGGAATGGATTCATCTTTGGAAATAAACGTATTTGTCTCTTCGCTATTGCTGTGGTGGGTTACCTCGAAGTGTTTAAATAATTAATTTTGAGTTTCACATGTTTAATAAATAGGAAAAAATAAGAATATAAACTGCTTTGGATTTAGACTACGGCGAATATATGTGGATTTATTGGAATAATAAACTAAAAAATATCCATGGTATTAAATAAGCACGATTCTTAGCAATACTTGATCGGCTAGAATATTCTTCGTAAACCTGGGATATTTGATATGTTGATTCCCAAGAATACCGTAGGTTATTCGACTGACCTTATTCTCTTCTTTGACAGAGCAGAGCAGTTCTCAACTCTCCAGTAAGATAGTTTGTACATGCCATCTTCGATAGCACTACAGTATTATAGACTATCATCATCACTCAATACCAGGCTGATATAGGTAAAATACCTTCGCGCATTGGTGCTGAATTGCTTGATATAAACGTACAACTGGTATACCACGCTATTAAATACAAATCTAACTAACCCATCCTCTAAAGAGCAACATCCTGGAAGCTCGCAGCTCCAGGAGTCTTCGCACCCTCCTCCGTATCAGCATCTACCTCCAGGGAAGGGCTTTTGGTAACAGGGTTCTTGTCGACGCTTGGCTCCTTTTCATCCGCAGGTGACGCGGCTGGCCTGAGAGCAACCTTGTGCTGATCATTATCTTCCACCCTAACCTTCTGCTCGTCCAACGCCTCTACTTTCTTATCCTCGGAGTCATCCTCCTCTGACTCCTCATCTCTGTCTTCTTCCTTCTCGTTGTTCGTTTGGCCGGCTTCGGATGCTTCATCACCATTCGCCTGCTCCTTTCTGTTGTTGTTAGGGAGAGCTGGGAGAGGAGCCTCATCCTTCGCCGAAGCAGGCTCAGCTGGCGTGGCTTGCTGTCCAGCCGCAGGCCCCAAATTAGCCATCCTCTGCCTCGGGTCCGCATCGAGATAGTATTGCCTGACACCCACGATCCTGCCGCCCCTTTCGCAGCCCTCTACCCACTCTGGCCTCACAACAGGGATATTCATCTCCACGGCCTTCTCCCAAGTAATGCCTCTGCCCTCCGTAGTCACAAAATGGGTAGTATCGATTCTAACGGTATCCGCGAGCTTACCCCCTATCCGCTCAACAGCAGCGACGAGGCTCTCCCTGAGTTGCGCTGGCAGAATGCCTGGTGTGACGGTGATGCCGCTGAGGTCGGTCATCTTGTGGGTTCTGACCGTGAGTCTGTCGCTCGCGAATGTGCCGGCGGTAGTTCTAAGCACAAGATGGAATGTGTACTCGGTGTCGACAGCAAGGCCGCTTATTTTCGTGCTTTCCATGGTTGTGGGCTGAGGAATGTTGCCTGCCTTCTGGCCATTGCGGAATAGGCTCAGGCTGATAACATCGGCGGTCGCAAGCTGAACTGGGTCCCACTCGAGGACGATGGATGTTTGTGTGGCATTGCGACAGCGCAGGACAGGTGCTGATGGCTCGGACTCGCCAAAGGAGCGGAAGATCGAATCTTGAAGGTGGCTGAATGAGTCTTGAGACTCGCTCTCGGATTCGAAGTTGCGGGCAACGGTGATGTCGACGATGCTACCAGATGAGATGTGTGGAGGTAGTAGGATGGATGGGAACTCGATCTGTTTGTATCATCGACGATGTCAGTTGGGGCACTCCGTAGGACATGACGTTGCCTTTGTGGATTGACTGGATTCTTACAAGGCGTTTGTCCTGTGTCAACAGCACAGCGACCCCGGCATCGACCTTGCCCACAGTCAAAGAGATTAACATCTTGTGTGTGAGATGTCGCAAAGGCGGATTGAACAGGGTGGTGGGAAATGTTTATGACCTCGTGAAGCTTTGGGGCTACGACGACACCTTCAGGGACAAGGACAAGCTTATCTCGGTCTTGGCGCCCTTGAATTGGACTTCCTTGCGCGCGATCATCCACGCTTGTATAAAATTACTTGGTAGTACATTAATTACAACTACTATTTGTACAGTATTCATAGTTTACATGTTTAATATGACCTGCGGCATTGCAGATCCACGTTCTTTGTGCTTTGTTTGGGTATCATTCTATCGTCCTCTTTTTCCCTTTCGGCTTTGCCTTCTTCGTTTGCAGTCGCTCAACCTCAGCAATAATTTTGTCGGCCTGCTCCTCCATCTCTGGCCACTTCGCACGTAGAATCTCAGGGCGCGTAATGAAGTGTAAGCTGCCTACGAGGTTGGGCTTGGGGGCCTCGTCACAATTACCGTCAATCCTGTAGCCATTTGTATCGTACCCCTTCCGCTTCAGCGCATTCACAATTGCCAGTCTTGCCCTGATGTTGACCCACGAACGAACTACACTCCTCGCACTGACTTGTTTGGAAGTCAGGCAGTTCCACCACAGAGGATCAGTGCGAGCTTCCCATTTGCGCTTCGTGATTTCATGCCTAGGATGTGCGGGATTGGTGAGTTGTGTTTTGGAGTTTATTGGTACAATGTGTTCTGGAGACCACATAATTTGTAGTATATCAATCCCTGGGATATTCCTCTTTGACATGCCGGCTGGAGGAAACTTTAATTTGGGTATTGGTGGCGGCATCTTTCGTATACTCGACATGCTGCCTTGTAAATCGCGTGCGATGGCTGAGCTTCTGGATTGGAGCTGTTTGGGCAACATGTCTGGTGGCGGCTTTCTGTCGCATTCAGTGTCATCGATTGGGCTCCGACAGAGGGATCGTAGTTTCGTTCATATCAAGCCCATTTTTGTTTGGTTGGAGTGGCAATCTTTTGTCTTGTCGAGCTTCTATGGCCCAGCTTCTTCGTCTCCGCGTGGTATGGATATAAACGCCAGTCAGTTCCGAAAGGAGGCTATACCAAGCGTGCAATAGGGTGGCGATGAGTGGCTGATGAGTGGCTCACTCCTCGCTTGAGCCAAAGTTCAGAAAGGGACTAGCTGACTCATCCCCCACCTAAACTAAGGATTCACCCCACCAACGATAAGTCATTAGGCGCCCATCGACCACACAACTGTCCCACTTGCAAACTTCATATATAAAGCCTACCCCTCTTGGAGCCCAAGTCCCGGAGTAATAACATCAACTTCCAGATCATCAAATAATCACAAATACGGCATTTTAACCAGAGAAATCTGTCAATATGCCGAAGAATAAGGGAAAAGTAAGTCTCATCCGCAAACAAAAACCACCCCGCTCTTCATTTTCATCGCGGCCCAACGACAACAACTCGTGTGCATATTGCTGACGCCTCTTACCAACAGGGTGGCAAGAACCGTCGTCGTGGAAAGAACGAAAACGACAATGAGAAGCGTGAGCTCACATTCAAGGAGGAGGGTCAAGGTATGTTTCGCCCCCAGCAGTTACAGCCGCCACTGTCGGCCTCGCCACCAGATCATTAACGCCCAACCACAGAATACGCCCAAGTCTTGAAGATGTTGGGTAACGGCCGTCTCGAGGCTCTCTGCTTCGACGGCACGAAGCGCCTCGCACATATCCGTGGCAAGCTTCGCAAGAAGGTCTGGATCAACCAGGGAGACATCATCCTGCTGTCGCTCCGTGACTACCAAGACGAGAAGGGAGACGTTATCCTCAAGTACTCCGCCGACGAGGCCCGTTCTCTGAAGGCCTACGGCGAGCTGCCCGAGAGCGCCAAGATCAACGAGACCGACACCTACGGTCAAGAAGGCGAGGGTGACTGCAACTTCGAGTTCGACGAGGACAGGAGTGACAGCGAGGAGAGCGAGGCCGGCGCCGGCGCAAAGGATATCGAGATCGACGACATCTAGACAAGTCTGGCACGCGCTGCGGCCAAGTGTGTGGTGTGGACTGTCTTCTCTCAAACGATTCTATAATGGAAAACGAACTCGACAGTTTATCTCTTTTGTTACTATTGCCAGATGACCTGGGCGCAGTGGGAGAGACGCTGTGGTCCTCGTCATCCGTGCCCTTCACTTCTGGTGCGACGTAGAGAGGAAACGTTATAAGTGTTGTGGGTTCGCATTGTATGTATGGTTAGCCTTGTGCGGGGGATATCGCGATTAGCGCTGCTCTCCGTGTACTGCATCTTAGCATAGACTACGACGAAACACATGACCCATGCAAACCTGAAGTTTTTGAATTGTGCTTTTAATTAATGTGTCTCTATGCGAATCTCAGCCAGCGCATGTTGTTACGCTCTACCTGAGTCGGGAGGGAGACTGACACCCAAGACGCCAACAAACAAAAGCCCGTTACATTGTGACAATTTCTGATACAACCCCCCACTAACGGACATCTTCCACCAGGGATCTTACCAATCATCTTCTTCAGCTTCGTCGTCTGTTCCTTGTTAGCTGCATGCATTCAGAATAGCCGTAGAAATGAGAACTTACCACTAGCGCTAACTTTCTGCTTCCTTTTGTTGAGTGCCTCTGCCAACGCATCGGCCAGGCCACCACCACCACCACCAGTAGTAGCCGGAGGTAACCCACTTCCAGCCGGGCCAGTGTCAGCAGAGCCAGGTACAGCAGCCGCACTGCGATCGCGCACTTTGCTGCGGTCCACCTTCTTGAGCGCTCCGATACCGCCAGCCTGCTTAATGCCAGACAGGAGGTCACTACGGTCACCAGTAGGCGCTGGCATATTAGGTACTCCGGAGACGTAGCCTGAGTCGCGGTTGGGCATTGGAGGTGGGGGAGGAGGCCCTGGTGCGCCTGAATCGCGGCTGGGCATGGGAGGTGGAGGAGGGGGTCCTGCACCACCAGGTGGCGGCGGAGGCGGCGGCGGCGGTGGTGGAGGGGGGGGAGCTGGAGCTCCTCCAGTTGGGGGTGGTAGAGCGGGCGCCACCGCGCGAGCTGGTTGTTGCGGAGCTGCGTTCGATGGGCGAGCTGGTTGTGGTGGCGGTGTGTTGGAGACAGGTAGTGGAGGGGGTGGTGGAGGACCATTGTCTCTCGATGGTGGTGGTGGTATTGGCCGAGAGGAGGATGGCGGGAGAGGGGGCGGCGAGCCTGGTCCATTGTTGGGTGTCTTGGGGGGTAATGGAGGCGGCAATGCTGCATTTGGAGTGCTTCGAGCTGGGGGAGGTGGAGGCACGGCAGAACGCATTGGCGTAGGTGGTGGCTGAGGTGTACGTTGGCCCATGAACGGTGGTGGTACTCCGAATCTCGATCCAGATTCTCCAGGTTCGAAGTCGTCGTTCGGCGTCTTCGGAGGCCGCGGGGGTGGAGGTGGCGCGGACTGATTGGAAATCGATGTGGCATGTGGTCGACCGGGAGTTGGTCTTGGGTTTGAATTGAGCAGCTTGCCAGCATCCGCAAAAGGAGGAGGAGCAGCATATTTTGGCGGCGGCGGTCCTTTGGGAGGTGATGGCTCGCGCGGCGGAGGGGTAGGCTCTTTTGGGATAGGCTCTGCCTTTGCTCTCCGGCTAGGAGGTGGTGCTGGAGGCGCACCTCGTTGAGCCGGAGGTGGCGGTGGTGATTGGGGAAGCTCATGAATCCGCGGAGCAGCCGCCTGTGGAGGAGGCGGTGGTGGAGGAAGGGCCGTTTTTGCCCGCGGAGGCTCCTGGTAAGCAGGCTCAGGGGCTGCAGCAGATGCAGCTTGCTGCTCTTGAATGTACTCAGCAATGAAGTCTTGGTTGTCTCGAATCTGGTCGTCGGTGATTCCCATATCTCGTAAATCACCTCCCCAAGTTTCTCTCCAGTTGGGATCGAGAGCATCTAATTTAGCATACTCGGATACCTTCGGTGGATTGATACTGACAGAGGAATACGACGGATTGTGTTGCGAGAGCGAAGGTGGGATAAATGTTCGGGGAGATTCAGGGGGAGTTGGCTGGCTGGGCATGGGGGCAGACGGGGCCGACACATGCCTATGGCCACCAAATATACCTCCCAGTATTCCGTGCTTTTGTGGTGCTGGCCCACTGCCTCCAAAAGGGTTTAACTTGGTTGCTTTGCTTGCATGCTTCTCGCGGTCTACCATTTGCTTTAGGAACTTAACGGCCTCCTTTTCTTCAGAAAATGATAAACCGGCCAAGCAACCCTCAATTTCAAAGCTGTGAAAGAAAACACGGTCCTGGTTGTAAGACCAATTCTCATATATCTCCTGATCCCATATGACCCCTCGCACTGAAGGCTGTGGAAAGTTAGCGCCTATATCATAGGGAGGAAGATATGCATACCGAAACATCTACCAACTTCAACCAAAAGGTGTTCCCGATGAGGTCATTTGCTAAAACCACCGCACCCTGTAATCCAGTGTATGTCCATTTTGAGGTGTTTGGGTATGCAATATACAGTCTGACCATAGCAGCAGCTAGAATCTTGTTCTGTGCCTTTGGAACGACACGGCGAATGATCGCCTTCTCCTCGGCTGTGACACCCTCGGGCATCTTGGCTGCTGATGGAAAGCAATCTAAAAGTAACTCTGCCGAGGGCGTGTCATCGAGGAATTGAACTGGGAGATAATGGCGATGTGATTGCTGATGCGATGCCTGGAAGTTCTATTCGTTCAGTCAGTAAGAGGGCGTCAATTGAGAGCCCAAGCTCAGTTACCGCGGGATAGCTATAGCTAAGGCAGATAAGGATATATGTAATCGAATGACTTCAAAAGTGAAGCAGGGGAGATCGACTTACTCAGGGTTGCGCTATCTTGTAGTTGGAGGTGAGGTTGATAGGCGTCCAAACGATGGTATCGGGACCTAACGTACCTACGTTGTGTGGCTTGCCCAAGCCTCATTACACCCATTACAACTCGTCAGCCACAACGCAGCGCCAAGACCCATGAGTCGCAAGGCTGCCAAAAAGCCTTGCCTCAACTTATAGAAATTATCTCCCCACTACACAGCTGTCGCGAACATCGAACAACAAGGAAACAATCCGGATGCTCACCCTGATTAAAGTGCCTGGCAAGAGAAAGCGCAAGCAGCACACTGATAATGCAGATGGCGAGAACAAGGTGAACATCGACATTGCTTCTCTCACATTCTACAAGATATATTGTGAACATCAAAACTAACTTCACCGAAGCTATCTCGGCCCAAGGGAAGGCCACGAAAAGAAACGATTAAGAAAATAAAGGCGTCAGCATCCGCGTTAGACTCTGGCACGGCATCCAGACAATCACCACAAGATAATTTCACGACGAATCGGTCTATGACCTCGCTCGAGAGACTACCCACAGAGCTTCTCGAGAAGATATTCCTTGTGTCGTTGAACTTCAATCTACCGAGATCAAGTCCGATAATAGGCATTAAACTGTCTAATCAGTATATATATACTACGACAACTGTGGCGATATTTGAACCGACATGGAGATACAACTATGGGCTTCTGTACGAAGGGGGAGGAACCGCCTCCGATTCTGTTGATGGGGGAGATATACCGGGAGATCCCGAATTGCAGGTGCGTAGATGAGACCTATTCTTGTTTCCTATGGCTAACATAATATAGAGCTCATTGCTTCGGTGCCAGTGGGCAACGGTGTTCATGATACAACAAGCTGAGAAAGCATGGCTGTTGACCGTACCCCCAAAGCAAGTGAAACAGGAAGTTGAAGGAGTGGCCCAAGCAAGAAGCCATTCGCCGGCTTTTGATTCTGAGCAACTTGTCCATACGGAAACTCGTACTCCCGCGGAAAGGCTTTCTGGCGATTCTGAACCTCATAACTTTGATGAACAATATGCCGAATTTTTACGACTCACACACCCGGAGGCAGCAAGAGAGGAAGGCATGACTACGAGGCCAACATTTCGATGGAAAACACCCCACAAGATCCACCCCCAAACTGAGATACCCGAGAGTCTTTTACGGGGCCCTTGGTCTCCTGATATGGTGATGTACCTGTTCTGGTTGACTCGAGCTGGGGCTACGATCGATTATTCGGCGTCCACCAATGGAGAGGTAAGATTTATCTACACTATTTAATCTAAAGCACGCCTTACTAATATTTTGTCCAGGTAGCACGGCAAGGCCTTGATCAGGCTATACTTGATGGCAATTTGCAAATTTTGTACTTGCTCCATTGTCTTGGGATCGAGACGACTGTACATGAGGACATCTTAGAATCGGCAGTGCGGACTTGTTCTGGCAACAATGCCGTGATGTACCGAGTCTTTCATATCCTCGCAAGCAAGTACCCAGGCGAAAGTTCCTCGTGGGACAAATGGCTCGATGATATCTTAGATTTCGCTGAAAAACTGGGCCAGAACAGAGAGGAGAAACGACAACAGAGGATATGGTGGGAAGGCTTTGTTTCGTTTTTGAACGAGCCAGAGCTAAAACTCTAGAAGAAACGAATTATGTAATAGAATAATAATAAATAATAATAAATAATAAAACTTCAAACCTTCTTGCTATTTGTGAAGTAGTTGGTCCCATTCTTGGCCGCCAAATCAATAAAGTCATGTGACTCGCTGTATTTACCTTGACTAAATCGACGTCGCGAAATATCCGATAAAGATGACAACTGCTGTATCGAATTTCCGCGATAGCAGGAATTGATTCATATTACTGGGTTGTCATATCTGCCATGCGGGCTAGTCTGCCTGTTCCTGTACCTTCGTCGAGTTTATTGAGATTTCTCCAATTCCAATCAGAGGGCCGCTGTTTCTTCAGCGCAAACTCGCAAGGCTTCAACTTCGACCATGGATCACCACCAGGGCCGCAACAGCACACGGCGAAAAGACTAGGAGCGCCAAAGCCGTCGTCTTCACATCTATGGGCGCCCATACCGACACCAGCTACCTGCGAAGCAAGCCTTCTCAACCTCGACTTCCTCATCCCTCGGGTTACGCTGCCACCCGCGATACGACCCAGTATTAACTCCCCTCGACCTCTCGCCAAAGTCATAAGGCGAAGCGCGAAGCATTCAATAGGAGGATATAGATGTGCATCAGAGAGCCACAGTGCCGACTGGCTCAGGCGGGCGTTCGGGAGGAAGGTGAACCGCCGCCGACCTCTCAAGGGAGTGGAAGGCCCATACGGCGATGAAGGGGCTGAAGCTACGGCGTATGCCCTCGGGCGTACAATGTCTGCAAAAGCAGCAAACGAGCAGAAGCTGCGCTGCACTGAGTTCGACGAGAATGGCAATGTTGTCTTAGTTAACGGGGAGTTCAAGAAGAGTGAGCTTATCGCCAAAGTACGTCATCCACCCTGACCTTAAGATACCCTCGGTCAAAGGACTAACAAAATTATTAGTACGGATTATTGCCTAGAGATCTTCGAAAAATCGATTCGTCGCTGTTACCACATATCCTTGTGCGGCCCTCAGCTATCCTAATAAACCTCCTCCACCTCCGCTGCCTTATCAAGGCGAATCGAGTTCTTGTCTTCGACACATACGGCTCAACAGATTCATACACGCAGTCTGTATTCATGTATGATCTTGAAGGAAAGTTACGACAGAAACAGAACTCGCCCTCGGCTGGCGGGCTTCCTTACGAATTCCGTGCCCTCGAGGCAGTCCTCATATCTGTGACTTCAGGGCTTGAGGGGGAGTTCGAAACAGTACGCGGACCAGTTGTGCGCGTGCTGCGGGAATTAGAAGAGGATATCGACCGCGATAAGCTACGACACTTGCTTATTTATTCTAAGAAACTGGGTACCTTCGAACAGAAAGCTAAGCTTGTCAGAGACGCCATCGACGAGTTGCTTGAAGCCGACGATGATCTGGCTTCCATGTACTTGACTGAAAAGACGCATGATCTACTCAGAGGAGAGGATGACCATACGGAAGTTGAAATGCTACTCGAGTCTTACCACAAGGTGTGCGATGAGATTGTACAGGCGTCTGGCAATTTAGTCTCCAATATCAGAAACACCGAAGAGATGTGAGTAATATACCACTTCCTTTCAATAACAAACCCCTAACAATAAATAGAGTCAAGGCAATTCTCGATGCCAATCGGAACGCGCTCATGCTTCTCGACCTGAAATTCTCCATCGGCACACTCGGTATCGGTTCAGGGGCCTTTATAGCGGCATTATACGGCATGAACTTGAAGAATTTCATCGAAGAATCCAACTTTGGGTTCCTCGGAATCTCTGGCTTTTCAGCCGTATTCGCTGCTATTGTCTGTGGCTACGGACTAACGAAGTTGAGAAAGGTGCAGAGAGTAAGTATGTGGGGTGAGGCCGGCAAGAGAGGCGCAAGGGGCAGCTGGAGAGCAATCGATGAGGAAACTGGGGCTGGCTTACTGGAGCGAAGCAGGCGCGCAAGGCTCTTGAAGGAAGATAAAGGGGGCTCTCTGCGGGAGGTTGTCGGAAATGTGAAACCTTTACCGCCTACAGTCATATTGAAGACTACATAGGCATAGATACAGGGGGGTGGCGCTAAAGTTGTTACTATGTATAAACAGCTCTGCAGGCGTTTTGTTAGAGCGGGGAATCTTCTCTGTTTGGATATGTTCACGCGCAGTTACGGCGCGTTTGGGGCCTTCGAATACCACCACTCTTGTAAACCATACCATATTAGTTATATCACCTTGGAAATGTAAGATGATAACCAGACTTTGATTGTCTCGTCACTGACTGTCATCATATCCATATACGGCAATCATATACTGATCAACCAGAGATATATATTTGTTTTATTGGCAGGCATTTTCGGAAATAACTGCCGATACAATACGTCTTTACCCAATCCATGGGTTTCTTCTATCAAAAAGTTTGGACAGACACGAAATGACATCACGCTTGTCAATTTGAGCCACTCACCAGCCACTTCGCGAGTAAGGCAGGACACCCCTGTACTAAGTCAGGGTCTCTGCCCGAAAGAAACGACGTCACACTCTACTCCAGTTATTTCTAGATTGTGCCAAACGCCACACTTTACCAAAATTGTCTGTGGGTCATCCAAATAAAATGCCACAATTTTACTACATTGACGTCATTGAAGTGGGATGCGCACACCGAAGAAGGAGTAATCTTGATTATCACTTTACCACGTTTCTCCAGACAGGTTCACATAGGGTACGATATCCACAGAGTGCCTGGGATGCATTCAAATCAGGAAAGTATTTAAGTGGAGGGTCGCCACTGTCGAAATTTTTGGATTTTCTCTTTCCATATCAACATCTCAAGTCTTATAAGTAAACGAACAACAGTTCAGCCTCAAAACATTCAAACACACAAACAAATCAATACCAACCTCCAACAAACAACCAAACAAATCATACAAAATGGGTGCCGTCGTATCTTGCGTAAGTCAAATTCACACCTTTCAATTTTATAAATTTTAGATTTCTAACATATTTAATAGATCACCGGAATGTTCCGCGCTATTGGCGCCGGTCTCATGGCCATCGTTAACGGAATCGGAGCCATCCTCCAAGGCATCATCGGTGCCATCGTCGCATTCTTCGACGTCCTGATCTCATGCCTCACATGCGGACGCGGTGGTGGCAGGAGAAAGAGGAGCCACGGACGACACACAAGCACGATATAGGTCGTGAAGACAAGACAACGAGCGTGAACTTTTGAAGTAACATGAGCGCCACCATGGACCAGCAATATCAATCAGTGGTGGCGGAGAGCGTTGAGAAGCAAGACTTAATACCAACTCAAAGTGCAAGGAGCGGAGGATGCGGAGTCAAGGACAGGAATTCAATTAGTATCTGCGGCATTGTTTCAGATACCCGGCTTGTAGCTGCGGCTCGGTCATTAGTATAGATATCACGGCATAGAAATGAACTTTTTTATCTGCTATATATTATTATGATAACTGTAAACTGTGAGAGCGTCTATTTACGATTTAGGTTATCAACTGAGACATTCTGAGACGTGGGGCTGTGGACCCAAACTAAGGACAAGCTTCGTATGTCATACATATTCTACTGTGGCTGGCTGATACCTTAAATATGCGAAGTCATTCACAGTACACAAGTAGTTTCAATAGAAAATGGGCAAAAGTTGGTTTGATTCGATGTTACAAGCTATAGAGTAATCCAAGCCTGTCCATTCCATCCCTCCGTCGAATGCGTCCCCATACTCGCCCTTACAGCTATTATAACATTTTCATTGCCGTCCGAAGTCGTGAATTAGGCCTTTCCCGGCCCTTCCAAGAATGAATCGAAGCTACCACTTTATTTCTTGTTCAGCTCAGCGGCTCTCTTCGCTCTGTCCTCCTTCGTCCCCTCTTGCTGGACCTGGAAGTCTTTTGGGATAGCCGGGCCTGGGTTTGCTTGGTGATGTCTGATCTGAACCGGATCTCCCTTTGGCTCGGAGTCGTTGTGGACTGGGTGGCTGCTCGCTGTCGAGTCTGTCTTGGAGCTAGGATCTTTGGCAATCTGCTCGGTGATGGAACCGCCGGGGTTGTTATCATATTTGTTTGTTCCGGCAGGCATGATGGATGAGTGCTTTTTTAGTGTTGACAGGTTGGTTGATGACTTTTTAGTGGAAGATTTGAAATCAAATGGAGGCTGTAGTAGTAGTAGATGATTTAGAGAAGTCGTAAATAACAAACCTGAACTCCATCGCTGACGTTCTTATATACCCTTTGAGTACCTGTGTAACAAGGGTGATGACGTCGTCATCCACGCCTCAAACTTGCGTGTCGTAGATTGAACAACGCGCTAAAGTGATAACACGTGACCACGGGATTATCACCGAGCTGTGACGCGAGGGCCAATGCTCAACTGAAAGAACCCCCGCGATTTCTGCCTAAGGAGTTGAATACCTGAGTTTCCAAGGAGGAATGCTTGACTACCTGCGGATAAGTAGAAGCCCACAATGAGCTTCGAATATGCCCTCCGAAAGCGATGACCAACCACAGCCGGTGAAGCTATCACTGCCACTGGTATGTGTGATAGCCCAGCTTACCTTTGCGCCGCTGACCATTATCTAGGAGTACCAGCAGGAGATCTTTAACGAACTCCGCACCGAAGATGAGCTCCTCATTCTGGCTCGGGGTTGCGGCCTTTTACGGATCGTGACGAATCTCCTACACTCTTACGACGCAGCTGGGAATAACCTCATACTTATCGTCGGGGCAGAAGATCGCGAAAATGGGTGGATTGGAGAGGCCCTGGCTGAACATGCAGCTATAAGCGGCTCCTCGAAAGCTCGAGGCCTTAGCGTCGTAAATACAGACCTTATGAGCGTCGGCACCAGAGAGAGGATGTATGCGAACGGTGGCATATTCAGTATCACATCCCGGATCCTTGTGGTGGATTTATTGACGAGCTTGTTGGCGCCGGACACTATTACGGGCATCATCGTGCTCCATGCCGATCGTGTTGTTGCGACATCTACGGAGGCTTTCATTCTTCGAATATACAGGCAACAGAACAAAGATGGGTTCCTCAAGGCATTCTCCGACAACCCAGAGGCGTTCACCGTGGGCTTTGCTCCCCTTGCAACAATGATGAGAAACCTATTCCTTAGGAAGGCCTCGTTTTGGCCCCGTTATCAAGCCACAATACAAAGGTCACTTCAAGGCAAAAAGAAAGCAGAAGTTATCGAATTGGAAGTACCGATGACGGACGCCATGCGAGATATCCAAAACGCTATCATGGAATGTGTTGAAGCCAGCATTGGGGAGCTCAAGAAAGGAAATTCAGGGCTTGCAATGGAAGACTGGAATGTTGACCGGGCAATTCACAAGGCTTTCGATGCGATGGTCAGACGGCAGCTCGATCCAGTGTGGCACCGTGTCAGTAGGAAGACAAAACAGATAGTCAGCGATTTGACTGTACTCCGTGGACTGTTAGATGCCTTACTAACCTATGATGCTGTCTCATTTCTTCGTTATTTGGATACAGTTGTGGCTGTGCACTCGCCGCCTCCCGGCTCTACAAGACAAAATGTATCACCTTGGCTTTTCTTAGATGCAGCCCATACGATATTTGACACGGCCAAGCGACGAGTCTACACCGGCAAGTTAGATGGCAAAAGTTCCGCAAATGGAAATCTGGAGGGATCCCTTCGTCCCGTTTTAGAGGAACAGCCGAAATGGGGACAACTGGCTGAAACATTGGAAGAAATCGATCGGGACTTGTATTTCAATCCACAGATCCGGGATGACTCCAATGGCACCATTTTGATCATGTGCGCGGATACAGCAACATCCCGCCAGATAAAGGAGTACCTGCAGAGTATGCACGTTCCGACTGAGGACCAGGCCGAAGATGATGATTCAGAACCAAGGCCATCAGCGGCACATATGATGCGGAGTAAGCTAAGAGACTATCTCAGGTGGAAACCGGAATTTGCAAAAATAAGCTCGTCTCTATTTGGGGAGAACCAAAAATCCTTAAGTGAAGCTGGCGGCGGAAGAGGAGGGCCAAGCAGTTTCCGAGGAAAACCACCGCCAAACAAGAGAAGGCGAATTAGAGGAGGCGGAAGTAATATATCTACCTCTCATCGCGGGGCGGAAGGAAATGTTCAAATAGGAGAGGACAAGCCTTCTGAAGTCGCAACATTGCTGTCGGAAATCCGTCCAACAGATGCCGAGTCGATGCAAAAGGCCGAACCTGTCGTGGATCCCCTGGATGTCACGGAGGACTTCTTTGAGCTATTTGATATGGACGAGCTGATTGTTGTTCATGCATATGATGGCGACATGGACGAGCACCTGTTGGAAGAAGTCAAACCTCGATATATCATCATGTACGAGCCCGAACCAACATTCATCCGCCGCGTCGAGGTCTACCGCAGTTCACACAACGACCGCAATGTTAGATCATATTACATGTGTTACGGCGGGTCCGTCGAGGAGCAGCGATTCCTGTCCGCGATCCGCAGAGAAAAAGATGCCTTCACACGGCTTATTAAGGAGAAGGCTAATATGTCGATTGTTATGACGGTCGATGCCCATGGGATTGAAGATCAGGAGGACGTATTTCTTCGGACTATCAACACTCGTATTGCGGGTGGTGGACGACTCGCCGCCACAGCCACACCGCCGCGAGTTGTCGTCGATGTCCGCGAAGTCCGGTCTTCTCTGCCTTCGCTCCTCCACGGCCGAAATATGGTCATTGTGCCCTGCATGCTCACCGTCGGTGACTACATTCTATCACCGGATATATGTGTTGAGCGCAAGAGCATCAAAGATTTGATCTCCTCGTTTAAAGACGGGCGCCTTTACACCCAAGCGGAAACGATGCTCCAGCACTACAAATCGCCTATGCTGCTCATTGAATTCGACCATAATAAGTCCTTCATGCTCGAGCCCTTTGGTGATGTCCAAGGCTCAGCCCTGGCAGCCAATTCGTCGTCGGATCTCCAGTCCAAAATCGTTCTTCTCACCCTCGCCTTTCCGCGACTGCGCATCATCTGGTCCAGCAGTCCCTACCAGACGGCCGAGATCTTCGAGAGCTTGAAGACGCAGCAGGCGGAGCCGGACCCGATTGCTGCTGTTAGGGTGGGATTGGATAAGGATATGAACGCCGAGGACCAGGTTTTCAATCGCGAGCCGCAGGACATGTTGAGGGTGGTGCCCGGGGTCACGAGTAAGAATCTGAAGAATCTGGTGCTGAAGGCGGGGAGTATTATTGAAGTGTCTAATATGAGTGAAGCACAGCTGGCACCTATGGTGGGGAAGGAGGCGGGGAAGAAGATTCATAGGTTTTTCAACACGAATGTGTTGGATGGTTAGATAATGGTTTAGATTCGAATCTATCATATGGACCCCGATGCCGCAACCCCAAAATATACATCAAAAATATAGCTTTTAAAACGTATGCCAAATTTGACATAGTACGTAGTTCTTAAAGCCTTGCTTTTGTGTCAAAACCAGAAGTTAACAATTCACATGACCCGGATTTTGGAGATAATCTATATGCCTTGTCTAGCCGGGCGAAGTTGGAGAATAAACGCGCGGAACAGCTCCGCGAGAGCATTTGGGGTAAGCTACAACTCAAAAGAGCCATATTATAGGATAATTCAGACATGGAGAAAGACGTCTGATGTGAGACAGCCGTTAGAGCCATACAAGAGCCAGCTATCCTGCCTTCGGCGTTAGAAACGTGCCTAGTTTCTCCGTTCCCCTCGTTGCTGAATAATTCTACGAACCCCTCTTCCAGCCGCCAGGATAGTCATTCATTCACTTGAATTGAATACCTTCACACAGATTATTACTTATACTTCTTATTATACCCCTTTGTCGTTAAACAGCAAAATCAACTCATATCACAATGTCTACCGCCAAGCCCATACGCCGCGTCACCCTCTTCAAGATCCCCACGGAAGAGGGTCAAGAGCAGCTCCTTGCGAAATACCGCGACATGCCTCAAAAAGCACTCAAGGTATTTCCACCCAACTCCCTATCCCACTTACATCGAATCCAAGAGCTAACGGGGCCCTCAGGACGGCGCACCATACATCCTCGACATCCAAGCCGGCAAGACGTTCCCCGACCAGCGGGCTCAGGGCTTCACTCTGGTCGCTTCAACGGTCTTCAAGAACAAGGAGGATATGTTGTTCTACGACAATGAGTGCGCAGGGCACGCGGATCTCAAGAAGGTGGCTATGGCTGTACACCAGGGCGTCATGATGGTGTATTTCGAGAGCATCTTTGATTAGAGGGAGTGGGAGTGTGCAAAGTGAAGGCCGATGGACGGAGTAGTTGCGGAATAGGACCTCAGTCAGGAACGGGGTTAGTGTAGATATGTCTGCAGAGCACAGATTACAATTGATGATTTCCCCATATTCTGTATCCGTGTATTTTTATTTCAGGATTTATCATGATTGCTAAATGAATAGCCGTGGAAAGTGAGTTTCCGGCAGTGGATACAACCCCATAGTTTGCCCTGTGGAAGTTGGGGATGTATCTTGTACCCCGCACCCGCCGCATGCGGAATTACAATGGCCATTCCGCGCTTTTCCGCCATCCCGTCATCGAATGGCTATGCCGCGCTAACCCCGCGACCCTCCCGAGCTCCAAGCCAAGGATCCATTGATGGAGAAGGCTATAGTATGATAACAGTAATATTTCCCCTCAGATAACTTGTACCTTCTTCAAAATCAATTATTCAAGTAATAATCACATTGCCTGGCGATACGAATTTCAGATTTTGAAGAGAGCCTTGCTGCAACAAACACAAATTGAGTTGGAGCGATATAACAAGCTGTTTGACAGTGCAGATCTCCCGCCAGGCCTTCAATATGCCGGTCACTGCATTTAAGGATGAGGAAAAGTACTCATATCAGAATGGATTTGGTTCATACCATGAGTAAGGATTCGTCTTATTATGGAATCGAACCCAAATGAACTAACTGGATTGCAGATCAGAAGCCATCGAAGGAGCATTGCCCATAGCTGCGAACTCACCACAAAAGCCGCCGTACGGCCTCTACGCAGAGAAGCTTTCCGGCACAGCTTTCACAGCTCCCCGTCACGAAAATCTGCAGTCATGGCTATACCGAATCCTCCCCGCCGCCTCACACAGCGACTTTGCCGCATACAAAGGTGCAATTGAGACCACATCCCAATCCCCACTTCACCAAATCCCCAACCAGCTCCGTTGGAACCCTTTCGACATGGACGAGACAAAAGATTGGGTACACTCTCTCAAGCACCTCGGCGGCGCCGGTTCCCCAGCCATGAAATCCGGTCTGGGTATCCTCATCTTCGCCGCCGGCAAGGACATGGGCAACGAAGCATTCTACTCCGCCGACGGCGACTTCCTCATCGTCCTCCAGCACGGAGTCCTCGACATCCAAACCGAACTTGGCCGCATCCTCGCCCGCCCCAACGAAATCGTCGTGATTCCCCGCGGCGTCCGATACCGCGTCACCCTCCCCGCCGGCCCCGTCCGCGGTTATATCCTCGAGCTATACCAGGGCCACTTCCAGCTCCCCGAGCTCGGTCCCATCGGATCTAACGGCCTTGCGAATGCGCGCGACTTCCAAGCCCCCGTCGCTGATTTCCAAGAGGATACCTCCAGCGCCTGGACCATCTACTCCAAGTTTGACGGAAACCTCTTCACTGCCTCCCAGAACCACACACCCTTCGACATCGTCGCCTGGCACGGAACCTACTACCCCTACAAGTACGACCTCGGGCGCTTCAACACCATCGGCAGCACCAGCTTCGACCACCCCGACCCGAGCATTTTCACCGTGCTTACCGGCCCATCCGACCACGTCGGCACCGCCATCGCTGATTTCGTCATCTTCCCCCCTCGCTGGCTCGTGCAGGAAGACACTTTCCGCCCGCCCTGGTTCCACCGCAACACCATGTCCGAGTTCATGGGTCTGATCACAGGAGACTACGATGCCAAAGAGGGAGGTGGGTTTAGGCCCGCGGGCGCAAGTCTGCATAATGTGATGAGTGCGCATGGGCCTGATGCGGCGACGCATGAGAAGGCGAGCGGGGCGGCGCTGGCGCCGATGAAGGTGGGAGAGGGGAGCATGGCGTTTATGTTTGAGAGTAGTCTGATGATTGGGGTATCGGAGTGGGGGCTGAGGGAGTGTGAGAAGGTGCAGCCGGATTATAATGAGAAGTCATGGGAGGCACTGAAGGTGAATTTCAAGAGGCCGGAGGGGAAGTAGGGGGTGTGTTCGTAGGTATCCTCAATATTTGGATTTTTAGTGTTAGCTATTGTAAAGAATGAATATTCATTATTCTCATGCATAGCTGGAGTACAGTTTTCGGTGTTAGCATGGGCTTGCTTCGTCTTCCGCTTTACAGAAGCGGTGACTTCTTATCTTCGACAAAAAAATACAACATATAGAACGATTTCCTTTCTACGCCCTGTGTATCATCATGCGTATATGTCTCGTAATCACATAAACCAAGCCCTCTTCGTCACTGTCGCTTAGAAACCTTTATATATGTTCCGGCCCAACC